AGCAATGTATTGCCCTTCACTTGGCCCTCTAGTTCGCAGAAGGATTGAAGTTTCGACATAGCTACCACCCCTGGCACAAAGGCAACAAGGGTAGTGAAATACACGCTTCCGGCGATAGTCATCAAATTGTGACGGGTGGATTTTTTGACCCTGACGGTCAGTCGGCCTGTTAGTTGGGTGAGTGTGTTAGTGCATGAGACCTTCCCATAAAATCAACTTACCACTGATACGTCGCCAGTTCTTCCGTTTGGCCATGATAATGTAAAATACCGTGACGGCAAATTAAAATCTGGACCAGCAGTCTAATTACCTTGGGGTCAGCTATGAACTCCGGTGGTTCGAGCTCTGAGCATGCAGAGGATGGAGATGAAGGTGCGGTCATTTTGTGGCTCACAGATGGAGATGCCTTGAATTTACACAAAGTCCTTATACAGTCTCGCACTTCTTTCGATGGACAGCATGATTGCCATCTTCAGTTGCTTGGTCAGCGGTTCTAGCGGTTCGGCTATCAACTTTGCTGCTACTCGGGTAGCGCAACCGCTGGCTGTCTAAGCTACTCGGTTACAATTGCGCCATTGTATCGGTTATGTGTTATAATTGTCAGTCACAGATACTCCGGTCTTCCCTCAATGTCAGGTTCTCATTACACCTGTGTGTGCAAGCGCACTTTCACAGCACAAAACTATTTCAGCCAACATCAGCGCTCATGTTCTCAAACGAGAAAGCATCTGTCATCGGCGATGTCCTCTGTCAAGGAGCTTCTTCATTGTAGGAAAAAACCACGTATCTCACACGATGAGGTTGAGTCTACTGGATTGGTTATATTAAGCAATGTATCATCCGCCGGTCCTATTGCCTCCGGTGAAGTCAAAGCTTTGACAGCTCCGGTGGTCTGTGTATCCCTCCCATCGCTTGTTGCTACGGGAGGCGCTGTCTCCCCTGACTGTGAGGGAGAGCAAATAGATCAAGGAGACGACATGAGTTTGGCACAGCGCCGCCCGAGACGGCAAAACCGCCAATTGCCCATGCGGTTCAGGGATGTGCTTCCTCAGCCCCCACCAAATGTGCCTTTGGACGTTCGCGTGCGACTGCCAGAATCTGTGCAGTCTGTCCTCACTTCAGAACAGCCTGCTTCACCGGTTCGTGCTGTATTTCGCACTCCTCCAAATATTTTCGGGCTAGTACGACAATACTTCACCTCAAAGGTGCCATCCCACGATCCTGAGGAGTACGTCACTATGGCAGACCTCTCGTTTATACCAGGCAGCCCTGAACTCATCGAAGGATCGCATACACTTACTGCTTCCACCAGCAACTCTCAGTATTACCCCTATCCCAATCGCTTGTCCTTCGAGCTCGGTGATTGGTACTGGAATCAGGGTTTGCAAAAGTCACAGGAGGACTATGAAAAACTGTTGCAGATCTTGGGCGGCAGTGCTTTCAATGCTGCCGACATAAGTTCCACTTGTTGGAAGAAAATTAATTGTGAACTGGGAATCAACGAGTACGACAGAGATGGAAATGAATGGGAGGATGAAGATGCGGGATGGAAAAGGACAGTCATCACCATCCAGGTGCCATTTTCACGCACCAGCGAAACACCAGGCCCACGGCTTCATGAAGCCGCCCATTTATATCATCGCTCACTCGTGGCTGTCTTGCGGGAAAAGCTTGCTAATGCCCGAGATGACAAGCTATTCCATTATGAGCCGTACCAACTGTGCTGGGCTCCTCCCCATATGGATGGCGAAGTCTCCATCTATGGGGATCTGTACACATCCGCGGCCTTTCATGAAGCTTACAGTGACTTGCAGGTGTCACCCGGGGAACCTAAATGTGACTTACCCCGGGTTGTAGCTGGCCTCATGTTTTGGTCGGATGTGACGCAACTCACTTCCTTTGGTACTGCTAAACTATGGCCTACTTATATGTACTTCGGTAATGAGTCGAAGTATCGCTGCTGCAAGCCCTCATGTAACTTGAGCAATCACGTTGCTTACTTCGAAACGGTACGTGTTCTTACAGGGTTTGATATACGGTATACTTAAAGTTGTGCTGCCAGCTCCCTGATTCATTCAAAGATTTTGTAGGCGCTAAAGGTATCAGTAGCGAGTGTGCAACACATTGTCATAGAGAGTTTTTTCACGAGCAGTGGAAGATACTGTTAGATGACGAATTCTTGGAGGTATATGAACATGGGATCGTTATCTCTTGCTGCGACGGTATTCAGCGCAGATTTTACCCCAGGATATTCACTTATTCCGCAGATTATCCTGAGAAGTAAGTCAACTAATTTAGCGCATTGAATTACACTAATCTTTGTTCTACTAGAGTACTTGTAGCAACAGTTCGAAATCTAGGAGGTTGTCCATGTCCTCGCTGCCTGATACCCAAGGAACGGATACAAAACATGGGAATGCCTCGGGATAGAACACAGCGTGTCACTCTCGGACGCAATGATGAGAGAAGAAGTATGATGGTGAGCGAAGCGCGCTCGCTGATTTATGAGCAGAACTATGCAGTTAGTAGTGCCGCGGTAGAACATATTCTTAAGCTACAGTCATGGGTTCCCACTTCTGTAAGGCTTGAATTTCTATCACTAACAGTGGCTAATAATTTGTTAGAATGCATTCTCAGACCGCCTTAGTCGATTTGGTTTCAATATCTTCCATGCACTTGTGGTAGATCTACTACATGAGTTTGAAATTGGCGTTTGGAAGATGCTTTTCAAACACTTGTTACGTATCATTTCGGCACACGACAAAAGCCTTATACATACATTGGATCAGAGGTAAGGTTTACCATCCTGCCTCACTCACGTCATGTTCACCACCTCCACCAGATATAGGCAAATTCCAACGTTTGGCTTAGCTACCATCCGAAAGTTCTCTGCAAACTCGTCCGACATGAAATGAATGGCGGCTCGGAACTTTGAAGACCTCCTCCAGGTATGAGTTAATTGCCAATGTAGTTCAATATGACCTGACGTCACCTAAATAAAGTGCTCTATTCCTGTTTTTGACCGCCTTCTTCCAGAGCCGCACAATAGCACTGTTCTTCGGCTGTTATTTACTATGGCTCATTGGCACGGACTGGCCAAGCTCCGTATGCACTCTGATCTAACCCTAGAAATAATGGATGAAGTCACTACGGCGGTCGGCCAGCAGTTTCGTCATTTCAAGGCCACTGTCTGTTCCGCCTATGATACCCGTGAACTTTCTCAGGAGGCCGCAGCTCGTGCCCGACGTGATGCAAAGCAGGCGGCGGCAAAGCAACATGGGGAGCAGAAAAGGAAGCATAGAGCACCCCTTGTGGAGCCAGAGTCAGAAAAATTAGGCAAGAATACAAAACGACTCAAAGTATTTAACTTTCAGACTTACAAGTTTCATGCGTTGGGAGACTATGTATCTACAATCTGCCGGTATGGCACGTCTGATTCGTACAGCACCGAACCAGTCAGTCCTGTAATGTTTGATTCCGAACTTGATTCACCAACTTTTATACAGGGTGAACTTGAACACCGTTCCCCTAAGACCAGATACCATCGTACCGATCGCAACACCTTTGTTAAACAGCTCACTCGAATAGAACGACGCCAGACTCGCATTCGTCGCATAGGGGACAAAGTTGCTCCACGACCTCACCTCGAAATCGCAGAGATCGCGAGAAGCCCACATGTCCACCACCACATTGGTCTCACGCAGAAGTTCCCTGTGCATATAGGGTCATACTTGCGTGACCATGCAGGTGATCCAGCAATCACTGTAAGTGGAATCATACATTTTCAAGCAGCTTCTAACACCCTTGTAGAATTTTGTGCCTAAACTAAAGGATCATATATTGCGTCGATTCAACCAATCCAGAGATCTTCCAGGTACTGGAGAAGAGACTGATATCAATTCAATTATTCTGAAGGACGATCGCATATATCATCACAACACTGCCAGGTTCAATTATACAACATATGATGTTCGCAGATCTCAGGACGTCATTAACCCCAGAACTTCCCATTGCAATATCATGGTTCTTCATGCCGATGGTGATACTGGGCGCCAAGGCCACAAATATATTTACGGAAAGGTACTTGGTATATTCCATGTCAATGTAATCTTCATAGGAAACGGTATGGTAGACTATACCCCTTTCCGAACGGAGTTTTTGTGGATACGCTGGTACACTCCCATTAATAATTTTGCTGTCTGGGGAACCTTGAAGCTAGATCGTCTCAGCTTTCCGTGCATGGCGGATGAGTTCTCGTTTGATTTCCTTGATCCAGCGGATGTCCTTCGGGGTTGTCATATCATACCATCATTCGCCAATGGCAAGAGACATCCCGATGGTTTGGGAGTTTCGGCATGCGCGGGTGACAAGGATGATTGGTGCCAGTACTATATTAATCGGTGAGCTAGGAGCACACTTCACAAACACTGAGCTTATTATTTCAGGTTTGTCGACCGGGACATGCTCATGCGTTTTCACTATGGTCTTGGAGTGGGTCACGTGTACTCTCACCATCGCCCCACACAGCCCGAGCTTCAGCCACAAGGCAGCGCAGCGCATGGAGCTTTTACCCATGATGTTGAAGAGCCGGGGGAGATAGATGAAGTTGAGGACCGAGAGGACAGTGAAGTTGACGATGAAGATGATGGTATCAATGGTGGATCAGACATTGAGCAGTGGTTCGGTTCCAGCGACGAGTCATTGTTAGATCAGTTCGATGAGATGTACGATAGCGAAGTATCCCTTGATTACGAGAACTAGATTAATCGAGTAAAGCTGATTGATAGCGCTCACTAGACCATTGGTGTAACCTCGCGCCGCGAGCGCTACTTATCTCCGCCTCGCATGTTATATGTGACGTCGCGACAGCAATCGATCGTTCTAGGTCAGATGCGACAGCATACATGTAATAGTCAATTGCACTGCAGTGCATTATTATCTCATTTTTACAAGGCATGTAATCGCATTTAAAGTGTCCTATTTCCCTCTTGAAACTGATAATGTCTTCTGCGGGCAATATGGCGAATCCGATTTTCCATTCGTATTTTTTTCCAGATGATCTGTCAAGCCTTCAGCCTGTCTCAGTGTGTGTTTTTGACTTGTAACTTCAACATTGCTAACTCAGTTCTTTCAGGGCAGTCTCACCCTATTACAGAAGCCTTTCTGTTTTACAGGATATCTGATGGTTGGGCATCAACCAATCCTCTATGCGCTCTATGTATGTATTATCTGTATTCTAAAAAGTGTTCAGACATGTCTCATCATGGGCCAGTGTTCAGCCAGCCGCCTTGAGGCTGTAGGTGCTTTATTTTTTGGGTGTCATATACTGATTTTTTTATAGCTCAAGTCGCATGTCAATATCATAGCTTATGTGTTGCCAATTGATCCTCACAGTTCCATATGGGAACCGGGCACAGAGGTACCCATATTCGCCAAGGTATGTAGTTGGCTCTGCACCTTGCCTTTTGACTGATGAGTTTTGTAGAATATCTATGTGCCCGATGCCCTGCCCGTGAACCTGGACTTGGATGCCCTCTGGTCAAGGCCGAGCAACGATGGTACCCTTCTACACGTGTATGCATGGGTAAGGTCACCTTATGATTTCAAAGTTATCTTGTTTGACAACATTGTAGCCTTTGCCGGGCAATGGTCATAACACCATTATCGTCCAAGCTCTATTTCCGTTTGGACACCACCCTGAAGTTTATCCCGAGTTTGACCACAATACTCTCGCAAAAATGTCAGAGCTGCTGGATTCATTTGACCAAGGTTCAGTCGTGCCAGACTCTTCTGTGGCCTCAGCAGATTTTTCAAACTCTTCCGTGGCCTCAGCAGATTTTCCAAACTCTTCCGTGGCCTCACCACTTGTGCCAGCCTCTTCCGTGGCCTCCTCAGTTGCGCCATCTTACAGGCTCTCTGCCACACGTAGTCACGATGGTGCCCGGAAAGATGGCGTGAATGCCCAGGTCGACTCAAACACTTTGCATCATATCCAGCTCAGGTATCCGCAATGGCTAACTGTTTTGGTTCACATGCGGGTTCTCATGCGAGTCGCTGTTTGCTCCGGGGAGTACGGGAACCCATTCTTACTCAGCCAAGCGGCCGATCATAAAGCTCGTTTTGTCGCTGACCTCTTCGAACGAAGCCTGGCCGAAGTCCAATTAACTCGCGCAGACCTGTGCTGCGGTCAGTGACTCTTTAATTCAATATGTTTCGCAGATACTGAGTCTTTTCCAGTCAAGTCGATTGATAATGACTCCGAAGTGACGGAAAGCGAAATATTGACGATGGTCTGTTTTCTCCGTCATTTCTATCTATTTGTCTCACGTATATTAGGCTGGTAAATGGTTGTCATCATTATTTTCTGACACCAAATGTTTGGCAAAAATTGCAATCTCAGATCCTCGACCAGCCCTGGGCTTTGCCCTCGCAGAACTGTGCCCTCGGGTACTACTCATTGAGAGATGTATGAGTCTGCTGCAACACTTCCTACTTCCAGATTCATGTCGTTTACCATTTGCAGTCAGTTTTTCGAGTTAGCTTTAGTTGCCAAAGTCTTACTGTTTTATCACACAGGTCAATGGCCTTATATGGTTTCTCACAAAGGAAATTGCAAAATCGCTCGTTTTTTATGTTGTATTCCGGCGCAGTGTATCAGCCCATGTCCCAATAATCATGGCTGATTTTGCACCTGGTATCTTCAGGGATGTCTCACACCCACCCGCAGAGATGTTAGCGTATGTGGGAGCCTCTGTAAGTTATACTCTACCAGCTCTCGTTCATATTAACAATTCTATCATATTAGTGTTATAATGCCATCCTCCAATGGTTGACGGACATTTTGAAGGCGATGTCAGAAAAGGGGGAATCCTCAGCCATCAACCTATTGCTGTATCCGCCGGTCAGCCAAATCTATGATGAACTCCTCCAAGCAGTCTTTCTCCTATTCACACAGAAAGACGACCCAGGATACCCGGCATTTGTGAACCGCATGGCGGAGTTTTGTGACATCATGTGAGTTCACATTAAGTCCATTTCTATACTAATATCTAATGGGAATGCCTCACACAGTGACACTGATGTCTATCGGATTCCCCGTAAATAAGCCTCGCATGAAAATTTGTCTTCCATATCTTGTCCACGGGTCTGTTTGCCAATATACAGAGCTCTGTTCTGCCTGCGACAGTTTAAGAAACAAATTCCTAGCACAGCACCTCACCCATCTAAGTCAGATTGAGAAACATAGTACGTCCTATAAGCACCAAAGCCCACCATATCATATTGAGTCGTTCACGGTTGCTATACAGGCTTTTTCTAACTTCCAAACAAGGAAAAGTGTGGTCTGATGGAATTGTCCATGGGTGTATGTAAAATTCTAGGCTCATGGGGACATTTGATTCATTTAAGTTATTCGGTCCAGTCTTTTTATAGACCGCTACAATTGCACAGCCACCGCTGACCATCGCTCATAGACCGCTACCGCATAGCCGCTGCCAAACCTTCTTGTATGTAAGCCCTCGACAATTGTATAGACCTCCATCTAACACTTTCTTATCACCCCATTTCAACATGTTAAATATTAGTCCAGTGTTTCCTCCCAACTCCATCACTCCTCCGACAACTCACATTCTTGAGGTCGAACACATTGAGAATACACTCAAGTCTTGGCTCCAGAAACGGGGACGTGAAATTGTCAGTGGATTTGCATGTTTTTCATAATGGTATCTTACAACATCAACTCCAGCTTTCAGACTCCCTCTTCGTCACAGTTTACGTGCTGTTTGCATGGGTTGACCCCCTTGACCTCATAGCTATTCTACAAGTCAACCTCAGAGTGGTCGCAATGGAAAGGCTTTTCCAGCAAGAAGAGCTCACTTGTGTTTCATTCCTTCTGCGAGGAGGGCGGTGCTACATGGAGGAAAGGATGTATCGCGCTCAGATGGAAGTTACCTTATTTAGTAAAGCTATTGCGAACTTGTGTGAAGAGTTCAACACAAAATGTCGCCCAAGTAAGCTACGCTGTTTAAGAAATGATGACTGACTGAGAATTTGTTCCTAGCCCCAGCACCCCTGCCAAAATACATAGCTCTGCTCCATATCTTACGGCAAGCTCCCTATTTCAATAACACAATTACTCTCCCTGTATCTAAAAGAGCTCCTGCACATCATTTGTGCTTGCGCACAATGTAAAGCTAAGTCTATCCGCACCCTCTATCCTTTATTGACTTTGCTCACATTGACGCCATTGACAGGAAAGAGGAAATCAAGACAAAGTTGAATGACTTGTTTACCGTTCATGTACATTATGGACGGGACAAACTTTCCACCCTGATGGACGTCAGATCTAAATATGTAAGCCACTCGAATCATCACAGCTTTGCAAAGCAACTGAGATGTCGTTAGGTCATCATCACTACATATCAAACTCTGAGCATGGAGCTTACCATTCTGAAACATGTCGAAGAAGGCGAGGATCTGGCGTATCTCAAAGACCACGGGTAAGCAACACAGTATTTGCACTATGTCAACTTCTTCAGCTATTTTGCAGAGGGGTACTTGGTTGTATGAGATAGTATCGTGTGATGTTAGATGAGGCCTGATTCATTTGAATAGGCATGTTCAAAATTATTCCGTTGATTGAGTTCTTTGACACTTCCAACAGAGGAATCAATCACACAGCAATGCGAGTACAGGGAGATTCTGAAGCTTGTGTTGCTTCGCGGTATTAAGCAAGCTAAATTGGTAAATTGGTTCAAAATATGCATCACTGCATTAACCTGTCTCGTTCCAATAGACACCCAGAACATAAGAAGGTGCGATGTCATCGACATTTTCGTAGCTTGTGTTCACCTGGATGATGGGTAGGTCTCAATACTTCGTTTCACGTTGGATACCAGTTGAAACATGCAGTGCTGCATGGCACACAACATTATGATGAAACCATTGAGGTGTTCAGAATCATGTTGTTTAAGTTGGATGATGCTCCCAAAGCGCAGATACAAGGTAAGTCATAGAATACTGCATAATCTCGAAATGCCTATCTTGTTCTGCAGATCTGCCTCAGCAGTATGTTTAGTCAACGGGGACCCTTTGATACCCATGTCCGGCAACAAGAGAAGGGAGTTTGCACGAGCGGTCTGAGTCATGGGTCGGCTTGGGTCAGCAATGTGAGTGCTGTTGGTCTGCCTACCCATGGTCAGTATTAAACTATTCACCTACAGAACAAGGAGAGGTTTGATTTTCTTTATCGTGCAACAAGTAAAGAAGCTAACAACTTGCTACACTCAGATTCATGATGCGTGCGCTGAATGGTAATCTCTTTGCCTTCTCGGATGAGGAGGGCGCAGATGCACCATGCCCTATCTGTAAAGACCGTACATGCTCATATCTCGTCAATGATCGATACTCACATGTATACACAAGTGTACGCCAACAATGCTGGCCATGTCCTTTCATGTGGCCATGAGATTTTTTTCTACATGCATATCAGTACATACCTGATGATAGATGTACACAATACTTACTTTTCGAGACTACGATACAGCTGAAGAGTCGTTCATTAGATATTTACATGCTTGTGAAATCATTGACCTGTGTCGTCTTGGGGCGCCATGGAAGATCATTTGCAAGTAATGATTCTCGTTGACCGGCAGCATCTACAGCAGGACCCGCTTCAATATAGAACCAATGCAATAAATAATGGTACTGACCAATTTAGGAATGCAGGACGTTCAAGGTCACACCACTGTATTCAGCAAATCCTGGAACTTGTTTTCTCCCACCTTGCTTGATAAAATCATTGCTAATGCAGAGTCTTCTCCTCTTCGCTCACTTAGCACCCCCCTCAAGTCTACTATCATTCATACACTTTCCTAGATTGATCTCATTCGCTGTTTCTTCACGTAGAAATATCCTCACGACTTCTCACCGAAGTTCTCAAAATGCTGTGTACCCTATAACCCTCCGCACTCCTTATTCTGCGAAGGCAGCACTATTTCAGCAGCAACAGCAAGAAAATACCAACTATAACGTGTTACCTAGTAGCGGTACGTTTATATGTCTCATCGCTTGGGCTTTTTCATAATGTTACGCTTCAGGACAGCTTTCCTTCCTCACACATGGGTACTCCACAGTGTCATCCGTCTCAATCATTATTTCCTCCGTCTCCTCGCTCAAAAAGTCTATTCTATCAGGCGCAAGGGATCTCGATGCGTCCCCGAATCTAAGTGCATCACAAAGAGCAAAGCAAACCACTTGGTGCTCACATGTTGAGGTGAATAATGGGAACCTCGTGGTAAGTATACATATCATACTATAGCCGATTCATGTTGATACCCCCATAGGCATATTTGTTCTACTCTTTGGACGACAACTTCCAGGATCTCACAAATCCAACCATGGCGTCTATGCTTCCGATTCCGCGGCACTATGACTCAGATGTGCCCAGATGTATACTACGTGAAATACATTGACCACACCTGCGGAAGGACTCCTTTGGGAAATGACAAAAGAAAGACGGCCAGGTGTCATACCCGATGCTCATGCGATGGATGAGATTTGTGCTTGTTTTTGGTGGTATGGTGTGCTGCATCGCTCAACTCACAATAAAGGGGCAAGGCGACCATCATTTTTTGCTATATTTCAAAATGAGGATGATGGACCTTTTGGAGGAATATCTGATCTATTTCCAGTATGCGTATTTTTGTCTCGATGGCTTATCGAAGCTGGAAGATCGACGAGATATGGTGATAGATTGGCAGACATGGTCAGTGTTCGAGTTTGATTGTACTATATCTTCGACTGATTGATATTTTCTAGCTCGGACACCTTCACATTTATTTCAATCATGCACACGGACAGTCACAGAATCAACCTGACCACAGCAGACAATATCTCTCATCGTTTTGGTCAGACGCATCACCAAGTGGCTGTCTATCGCCTGGTCACGAAGGGCACTATCGATGTACGTATCACTCCATTAACTTGTGTCATGCCACCAGCCCAAGGAAAGAAGAGGAAAGCTGGTGCTGCAGCATGTCCGCAAAAAAATCACCGGAAAGGGGAGTAGAAACAAGGTTGCTGGCTAGGAACGAAGGATGTGATTCCTGTATCAGACGCCAAGCGATTTTCTGTCTTTTTTACTGTTACCTTTACTTTGCTTGGTTCGCGCACCTTACAAACGTCTCTCAACAAATTTTAAGTCAAGTTCATATGTCCATGTAGATCTGGCATTTAGCTACTCATTGTATGTCCTTACGATAGAACAACGATCAGCGTGAAAGATGGTAGATTAGTAGTCATTAGGTAGATCACCGGTTGCTTTTGCGTGCATGTTGGTATCATGTGACTTTTAGTTTGAAAAGTTGCGAAGCGATGTGTAGCCTGTGATGGTAAGTTGTCCTTCATTGTTGCCAGATGTCGTAGACTTGGATTGACTGGCAACCTCCAGGCCGCTCATGACCAATAAATTGGTTTTGTATGTTGTCCTCTCGGCACTGTGGTATTTCCCTACAGAAATGCCAATGCCTTGCCTTGGGGAATGTTTTGGTGTGAGCTCCCTTTGACCAACCAGAGCTTGCATGCCCGTGAGAACAACATCCAAAGGTGCCACAGACCTTTCCGGCTCAAGTTGCTCCCAACTCCTTCATTGCTGAGCTACCTTACTGACGAGCTTCGACTATGTTCATGACTTTGACTCTTTTGTTGTGGTATCAAAAGGGTCCAAGCACTCTTCTGACGATAATTCTCGGGTAGTATTAATCTGGATCATGGTGCTATGACAAAACTCTCTCAATTTGGTGCACCAGGGGCATTTAACGACACCATCCAGGATTCCTTCTCATCGATACTAGTACATGTTGCTTATTCGTGGTGGCACAGAAAATGTCTGAGCTCTATTTAACATCTGGTCTTTCCAGGACCTGGTCATAGCTCACATATCATCATAACGCCGCCCACACTTATCAATGGCACTCAAACATCTGCTTGCTCGCATCTTCAAACATTTCAAGATGTCTGGATCTGCCTCCACATTGGATGTCGCTACTGCTGCAATGCCTGCCCCTGCATCAAATGTCTCATCCCTAATTGAACGGTCTCCAGCTACCCAAGCATTTTTTTCTATCAATGTAAACTTTTGCTTTCATGTAGTTTTGTCCCCCACTGCCCCAAAAATGCGCTGGCGCAAAATCACTCATTTACATTGCAGGACCTTCTGCCGGACCTACCGCTGAAACTGGCATACCATTGATGGCCTCTACTATCCCAGATGAACCTTCCTCTCAGAAAGCATGCCTGGGCTCAGCAATACGACTATGTGTTTCCACATTTTCCCCTTGGCCAATCGCTATTGTCTGCTACTCACGCTTCCTCCTATAAATCACGCCTCACATCGATACGATCCTCTAATTCCACACTTCGCACTAGGGCAAAATTTGGATTCATGCATTGGCAGTTGCGTCTTATTGCTGCTGAGCTTGTAAGTATCTCCTATGTTCAGCATGCGAGTTTGATCTAATGTGCTTCACTACCCCTGAAGCTTCTCGCCCTCCAGCATCTTCACAAGCTGCACATTGTACATATGGACTTGAAGATGGAAAATGTGCTTGTAACTCCGTCCGGCCACATATGCATTGCAGATTTTGGCAATGCTGAAGTCCTAGATTGCAAACTGACCTATCAGCAATTTCACGACGAGCACATGCATGGTGTATCGGGTACCAAGAGTTACCTTTCTCCAGAGCGAGTTGAGGGAAACCAGTGATATAACTTCAAGACGGATACCTGGACTTATGGTACCATTTTACTGGAGCTTTTACTAATAAATGGCAGGGTGAGCAATCCTTTGTGGTTCCAGATTGCCCTGGCATTAAAGCTTACTTAACTCCAAGCACTGGTACTCTATATATCATTTCAGTGATGGAACACATAGATTTGGCAATGACCACAAGATACCTGAGGATTACAGCCGGCTGACCTTCATAAGACCGAACGATGGAATAGATCTCATCCAAGATAAGGATGCCAAGGATCTTCTTTATTCTGTATGTTTCTACATCTGTGTCGTCGAGGTTGACTTAACCCCTCATCAGATTTTCTTTCCCAAACACCATGCCATGAGACCCGAGTGGGAGTCAATTTGCAGTCACCCATTCTTCACCTGTATTGACTGGCAGAAGTTAGATAATTGGGGATACAATCGTAAGTCCACAATCAAACTCTACTGGCGTGCACTTACTCATGTCCAACTAGCCATGTTCAAAGCTTGGCTGGGCAACACACCGCTCCAATCTGTCGACTTTGGCAAGATTGCCATTGAATGTTCTCACCCTCGGCTCCCAGACTTCAAGAAAGCTGTGCACGAACAAGCCAACAATACATTCTCTCTTGGCCGAATGCACGTGAAATATAAGTGCCCAAATGAATTGGTGCATGATGCTATGCATGGAGCAACTTGCAGGGCTCCAGGGACTCGAGTACCCCAGAGGCATGTTTGTAAATGTGACGCCAACTTCCGCAAACAACTCCGTAAGTTTTCACCAATGGAATGTTCTGTCATGCAGCTGACATAGGGTTTGCATGAAGATTCTCGGTGTTCTCTAAGTCCTCTGCCAGCTTGAAGACTTCTATCATCTTCGCGATATATTTCTGCTTTCCACTAGATCTCCGAGTCTCTTTATTCCAATCCTCCTGCATATTTCCTATCTGTTCTCTTCATCCGACTCTCTCACATTCATCGTGACGATGTTTTCCTGCCATTGTATTCCCGTTTCCATGCTATCATTATCCTGCTTTCCATACTGCTGCTATAGAATTACCGCAATTTGTACTACTACTCTGTTTTGCAATGATATCATAATTGACACACTACGAGCATATTCTGTAAGGTTGGGAAAGTGTGCGCTAATGTGCGTAGATATGTTTTAAATTACGGGTTATGCATCCCTTTTCACGTATTAAGTGACAAATAAAGTAAAAAAAGCAACTGGTAGTTTTCCTGATGACTATGTATCTCTGTTATACTGCACGGATGGCGCAGTTATCAGTGTTGTCTCGTTCTAAGATTCACACTTGTTTCACATATCTGTGACACCATGATAATAATATCTAAGGCTTCAACATGTCATGTAATAATGTGTCTTGATTGCCAATGTTATATCAGTTTTGGGTGGATTTCACAATGCCTAGTATAACTATATATTCTTTCATATATTGGTCACCTGTTTGTAAGATGCATGTCAAACTGATATGTCCCTAGCATAGTAATATACTCTTTCAAATATTTGTTGCAGACTTGTAAGATACATATCAAAATGAGACGCCCCTCACATAACTTTGTATTCTTTCATATATTGGTCACCTGTTTGTGAGATGCATGTCAACCTGATATGTCCCTAACATAGCCATATACTCTTTCAAATATTTGTTGCAGACTTGTAAGATACATATCAAAATGAGACGCCCCTCACATAACTTTGTATTCTTTCATATATTGGTCACCTGTTTGTAAGATGCATGTCAACCTGATATGTCCCTAGCATAGCCATATACTCTTTCAAATATTTGTTGCAGACTTGTAAGATACATATCAAAATGAGACGCCCCTCACATAGCTTTGTATTCTTTCATACATATGTTGCATACTTACAAGATGCATACAAAAATGATATATCCCTGACATAGACATATATTCTTTCATATATTTGTCACATACTTGCAAGATGCATGTCAAAATGATATTTTCCTAGCATAGTCATATATTAATTCAAATATTTGTTGCATGCTTGTAAGATGCATGTCACAATGAGATGCTCCTAGCATAGCTATATAATTTTTCATACATATGCTGCATACTTACAAGATGTATATCAAAATGACGTGTCCCTAGCATAGTTATATATTTTTTCATACATGTGTTGTGCAAAGATAATAATGTATAATTCTAAATCTAGACATAACATAATGAGGTTCATCTGTCAACTCTACCTGGTCATATCAATTTCGGGTCGATTCCCTGATGGGATACTTGATAATTGCACCGATTAAGTCTTCTGAATGTACAAGGAGTTCATGGACATGTGGATGGTTGTTGAGCTCCTGGCGAGTGAGTAGCATTGAGAAGAATTGAAAAGGCTTGATTCCAGCATCTTCAAATGTAGTCAATAGGTATTGAAATGAATGTTCCATTGTACGACTGTCAACATCAACTGTGACATTAATGTGCTACTGTCCCGGACTCAATTGTAGCACGAATTTTTTAATACAAAAATACCTGCGTCTTTCTAACCCTAAGTTCGTTCTACATGAATAAATTTCGCGTTCCGCTGGTTCAGCCACTGTGGCTGACGTTGTTTACAAATGTTATCTTCCAGCCGCTGCTGAGAGTGTGAGGGGAATAAGGTTATGCTGGGTTTGAAATTTTGTTGTATCATGTGACCTCGGATGTAGCCCTTCCACACTCGAAGCAGTGGTTGGGAAGGAGCCTGGGTTCAAAGGCAAAATGGCCTTTGAAATGGGTTTAAATAATAGAGTTGTACTTAAAATTGCCATAGAAATGTAGTTAAAATGGCATTGCAACAGATTGCAACGGGCCTTGCAATAGTACGGCACATTGCAATTTGGTTGCCATATTATTGCAATATATTGAAATATAGCAAGATTCCTTGCAAATTCATTTCAAGAATACCTCATTGCAACCACTTTAGGAAATTTGCGACATAACATGTGGTAAAGCTGTTCGAAATGTTGTTAAAATAATTTTCGCACCTTGTATTGTCGACCAATTTAATACTTAACTATTTCATCTATCACGCGAGGTGTGTGACATGCATGTATTAAAAAATTTCAGAGTATCATATAGATCCTGTAGGTACAGTAGAAACCAGAGCTATTATGAGTATCAAATTGATTTATCTTGAATATGTTGCAAGTCACACCTCATAAAGACATGTTGTCCTATCTTGTATAGACATTGAGCTTAATAGGTTGTATGTACCTCTGGTCGAGACCAGTCCGACATAGACTCATACTGTACTTGGGGTAGCTAATAGCAACCAGCTTGCCAGCACCATGCCAATATCATGATTCTCATATGCATTTTGCGAGGCAATGAATCCGTGAAAAGCAGTCCAAAAAACATTGCATTATTAATGAGCTAGTCACAATCCTGATTATGGTGTTGAGATGAATGGTATGTAGAGAGCGTGCAAATGATATCAAGCAGAAACGAGCAGCTGGCATATTCACTACCAAAGTAGATCAGTCTGAATCTTTGTCTGCCACTGAGGATTGGCAATGGAAAGAAGTTTTGGGACACTTCTCTTCCCTGAAAATTTGGTGAGGTCCTGCTGGAAATATTCAACCAGGATGCTTCATAATAGTGAGTAACCATGTGCAGAGCGAAGTAGCAAGGATCTTACTTCCTGATGATATTCTCCGCCGGTGTTCCATCACCAAGTTCCTCTGCCTCAACCTTTCCCATTTTGCGAACACCCTCAAGTGAGGCATCCACGAACCTCCAAAACTTGCTTGATGTGAAAATGGTGCGCTTTCCGTTGCCCCCGAATCCCGAGTCATTGGGGTCAAGTTCATACTTCTCCTTCTCTGCCACACCAGACAGATCTCTCTCAGGCTCATCCTCATCACCATCTCCCGGGCCATCATGGTTGATATTAAGATCAGTTCCATCATCTTCAGCATTCACACCATTCATGCTACCTTCAACGCCTCCCATGCCGTCTGCGCCATTCTCATCAACTTGGCCACCACCTTTAACTATGGGGTCAGAGTCGAAGTCATCCAATCCAACATCGACGCTAAGTGCATCACCAACTTTGACATGAAGGTCTCGGTGGAGGGACAGAAGGAGGGATAGAGAATAAATATCCTGTAGAGGAATGGTCTTGTAGTTACCAGTGCCGATAAGAAAAATGTGTAGGCAGCACCGCTGCCAATAGAGTCTCATTGTTAAAACGGGCAGCCAGGAGTGAACAACACCATACCAAAAACGCGTATCTATTCCAATGCGATGCATCAACCTCTAGGCAACCATGAGCCAGTGATCTTGCGGTATTTATGATACTCGAGCATTTTATGATTGACGACATCAGCTGAATCAGTCTCAGCTTGGTGTTGTTCTGTAGAGTATTTTTTGCAACACTCACCTTAGCCTTTACATTACCATGAATGCACGAAAGTGCTTCACTGACAAGTGTCGATAATTGCGCGGTGAGCTCAATGTCTTCAAAGAGGAATCACAGGACCTTGAATATCTCACTGTTTTTCTTGATAAATTCCTGTCATTCTGATCAGTTGCTACTTTTGTACAGAAGGATATTGAAAGCACCATGACATGTTCAAGTGTGTCATTGACATATGCAGTGAGATTAGGTGATAACACACAAGCTGTGAGGCGGTTCTGAAGACCCAACTGTGTTATGCTTGATTAGTTTGAGGTCGGCAATAGATTGATACGGTCAGACACAAGTACCTTGAAATCTTTGGATTCTATTAGTTCCTTGATTTCTGCAAGGAGAGACTTCTGGTTCGCCGCACTAAATAACATTATGGTGGCCTTAAGATTGATGAGCATATAGGCAATTCCTCCAGTCTAAAGACACATCAGGGATGACTCATGATAGAATTGAGAGAAAACTTGCATCAATGAAGTCAACGAGATGATCCTTATCGACACCTCTCTCTTCAGCAACTTTCATTGCGTACAATTTGAGTCGCTTTGTGAGTCCAGGCGTAAACATTGATGGGTCATTACAGTCAGTGCTAGAGGATCTCTGGCGACACACACCAGCACTAATAGGCTCGTCCAGTGAGTCATTTGGTGAAGCACACTGGCGAGAGGGAACATCAGTTTGACCTGGAGAAGCATGATTGATAGTTATGGCATGGGAAAGTGGTGAGTGTGCATGACTGATGTGTCCTGCAGATCTGGACACTGAAGGAGGTTGAGAGTTATTCTGGGTACTAGAAATCGAACAGCTCCTGCCTTGAGGCACAGCGGTGGGTGGTGCTAACATGCCATTTGCTGAATGTGAGGCACATGTGCTTCTCAAATTTGAGTTGGACCGCACGGGATAGTGCTGGAGCATCATGATGTTGGGATGTGGATGCACTGCACAGGAGCAATTCACTGTTATGCTCGAGGTTGACTGACAAAGAGGCAAAGAAGTTCGGTGGCTGAATGAATTGAAACCTCGCTTCCTCTTCACTTGCGTCAATTTGGTCGTTACATCATATTTTCTTCACAAGACATTCTCAAGCCCATAGAAGCAGCAGCAATAGAGTATCAAAAAGAATATATTAAAGTGTGGGTGGAGAAAGGTGCTGGGAGGGAGATGATGGGAAGGAAGAGATAATCACTAAATATATTATCTGAGCGCCAACCAATCACACACTTGAATGCAAAGACCGTATTGGCAGGGTTACAATAGCCTCAGGTTTTGCAGCCACCAGACACCCAATCTAAAAAACTGCCAGACACCTAACTTAGACCACCAGGCACCTAACCTGATGGAACGACAACCGCCAGACACCAAACTTAGACCACCAGACACCAAACTTGATGGAACAACCGCCAGACATCTAACTTAGACTGCCAGGCACCTAACCTGAATGGTTTGAGGGTCTTTGTGTGCCTGTAAGTAGAAGTCACGCACTGATGGATTAGCGACTCCCTGATTGGCAATGAATTCTGTGTGTACCTTCAGAGTTCCTTAGACCACCAGGCACCTAACCTGAATGGTTTGAGGGTTTTTGTATGCCTGTAAGTAGAAATTGCGCACTGATGGATTAGCGATTCTCTGATCGGCAATGAATCCTGTGCCTACCTTCAGAGTTCCTTAGACTGCCAGACACCTAACCTGAATGGTTTGAGGGTCTTTGTATGCCTGTAAGTAGAAGTCGCGCACTGATGAATTAGCAACTCCCTGATCAGCAATGAATTCTGTGCGTACCTTCAGAGTTCACATTCCACCAGGATATGGTGCACCAAACTGAGGGTAGTAGTGCTGACTCTGCAGATATCGAGCCTGAGATTCTTGGAGAGGATAGCCTGAGTGAGGCTGTGGGAAGTGGCCTTCAACATTATGTGGCGGGTGGTGTGCTGGAGACATGAAGGGTTGAAATTGGTGTAATGGTGGGGCATGAGAAGAGCTGGAGGGTCCAGAGATAGAGCCAGTATGCCGGGGCTGTGGATGGTCAGAAGGAAAGCAAGGTGTCAAGGTCATATAGCGATTAGAGGCCTGCACTGCAGAAAGTGGATCCACTGGGGTGCCCTGCACGTTTTGTGTTTGCCGATGAGTTGGGTGAATATGATGAGCAGGTAGAGATGGCGGAGCATGGAATTGAGAGGGGAAATATGACTGTGGGGGAGGGCAATACAATAGGGGTGGTGATTGGTGGAGTGGAGGTGATGAATGTAAGGGCGGAAGAGAAGGAATTGGCAGAGGTGGAGGGAAAGAATGATGTGGAGGATGGGGTGGCTGGAGTGCCTGTGAGTAAACGTGTTGTGGAGGTCCCATTAGTGGTGTAAAGATGATTTGATGTTGCATCGATGCTTCTGAATTTTGCTGAGTAGGTGCTGTCTTCCTTTTTCCCTGCACACTCGAGCCACTTGCGTGTTACAAGTAACATCGGCTACATGGCCCCCCTATCATTTTTCCCCTTCATCCTCGCCCTTGTATGCCTCCGGCTCGTACTTCTCTACTGACTATCTGTTGACTGGATCCTCGGGACCGTTCCCATCCCTTGTCCCCCCCTTATTGCACCAACGTGTGCACATGCCCTCGGGCTATGACTTGTTCTGACTCGTGCCACCAATGTGGCTTCCCTTATCTTGTCTTATCTTTCCTCTGACTCATGCGTGCTGCGCATTGTATCACTTACCGTTGGCTTGTTCCAATGTTTCTCGGTCTCATTCTGCATTCGACTTCACATCACTAATCAGGCTCTGCTACCAGTGTACCTATACCCTTTCCGTTTCCCCTTTGCCCTTACCTACAGTACGGTAGCCTTGCCCTTAACCCTTTCCACTTAGTATAAGTAGTCGGTCACTCTGTACTAGATTCCCTAACTTGAATCTACTCAATCTTCCCTCGAACATACTTCCCTCTGAAGCCCCCTCAGCTTCAGTCTCTAGTATCTTTTCTTAGGTGCTCATCGCGCCTAAGTCTACCTCGATCGACTACTCATCGTTCAGACAAGACTGTCCTTACTTTGAGAACGTCAGTAACTTCGAAGACATCTGTCTTAGAAGTCATGTGACACGCACGTCTCTGATATCTGCCGACTCGTCGTCGCCAGTCTCAGTCACTACACCGGACCTTTCCGGTTACGTCACGAACGTTAGCGGACGACGCCCCTCTTAGGGCTCCGCATAACAGATCTATTTGAGTGCGTAACAAACAAGGCGCCGCACTATGATTGTGTGTTTGTGGACACAGATGCAGGTGTCGAAGGGATGAGGGGCATGGACATAGCCCGTGTCATGTGTTTTTTCTCTTTCATGTTCGAGGAAGATTTTTACTCATGCGCTGTGGTGCATTGGTTTGACAAAGTCAATGATGGACCCAATGAGGACACTGGGATGTGGATTGTTCAACCTTCATATGATGTTGGCCATTCATGGTCAGTCGGAATCATTCATGTTGAATCTATTTACCATGCTGCACATCTCATCCCAATCTATGGAACACATGCCATCCCGCAGGACCTCAAGCACTATGACTCATATGATGCTTTCTGAGCATTCTATGTAAACAAGTTTGCTGATCATCATGTGTTTGAGATCGCATCTTAGGTCGGTCTATTTGACTTGAGCTCATATAGTACTACTGACTCAAAAATCAACTAAGTACTCTTTTAACGTGATCAACATCCGCCACACCAAGCACCAACCCTGCACAGTCGTCGCAGTGTCAAGTTCACTTCTGCGAGGGCTCTAGGATCGCAACTTCACTTGTCTCTCCATAGCCATACACTCATTTAAGTCCATTTTGCTCACTTGGTGTGTGCGGCTGAGAAACTGGTGGGGGTGGAGCACTCTGACCTCTGGGGGTGCTGAGGGTGATATGAGTACCCGGGATAGGCATACGATACATACAGGCCTGGCTGTCCAGGTGTGATGCTCATCCCTTTCAAGGATTTCAGGGTGCGCAGGATACAGCTGTTTGCTGAAGTTGTTGGTGGTCAGGACGAGGAAGACACGGAGCTCAACAGATTGGGAATATCCACCATTGAGTTGCATGTGAAGCATTCAACCGATGAATGCAAGAGCAACACACGTAAGAGGAAACGCAAGAAGACTGCTAGCCCAGAAGGAAGATCCTGTGGTACACCAATCTCCTGAAGGTCTGCACAGCTGCATACTGTCGCATCCAGTGAGCCTTTGTGACGCCATATCAAAAGTTTTTGCTGCAATTTGGTTCCTGAATGTGCGCGCTTCGCTCTGGAACAAGGTCATGTGCACCTGGTGATGTTGCTTGCAACTGGAATACCATAATTTGCTGAAGTGGAAGGGAATGTGAGATATATTCTTGAACCCGTCCTCCACTCGATCTTATATTTCTTAGCTCAAACTTGATATCATGCCATTATCCGACTCACATGTCAACGAAGAGGATCCAGGTCTTAAAGCGGGACAAGCAACTCAAGGACATTTATGAGGACATTCGTGTTTGACGCACCGCTACATGAACAGGTAATTCAACAATTACGCTGCACCATGGATGCGCTCGAGCGATGCTCGGTTCTGGCAACTCAACAACCCTCTCAGCCTCCTCCAAAACCCCACCCTCACTCCTCCAGCTACACCCTCCCCAACCACCGCATCCCCCCCAACCGCTGCATGCTGCCACTGGCACTTCTGGCTGATCCATGATGATTGGCTGCCTTTGCCCTTGTCCCCAGTAGGTTTGTGGTGCCCTTATTGGCCGAAGTGGTACATATCGGCCTATTCTCTGTTGATTGCGAAAGTGATCAATGATCTACACAGCATGTAAGTTACCTACATTATTTTGAGGGCCCATCTGCAAAATGTTGATGGTGTTAAGATGTATATGTGAGTCGATAGTGTTTTAGTTTCGAGTTCAAGATACTCACTCGATAATCAGCATCTGCCGACAGTGTCTTTTTGGAACTCTGAATCTTACTAGTATACGACAGTATATACGCTCTTAGTAGTACTACTTATTGTGCTGAATTCACTTTTTTAAATTATCTAACTTGTGAGCTTGAGATTTGCTGGATTTACTTTTTCAAAAGTGTACTAAGTTGAAAAAGCAATATTTTTAGCTACCTATGCTAAAAATTAAGTGACATAAGCAGGGAAAGTAACCGGTCGTTTTACTGATGTATGGTGTGGATCACTTAGAGACCACTACTTAGGTGCAGTGGCCAAACTGACCTCCAGTGACCAAAAACTTAAACCCTAACCCTAAGCTCGTGACTGCGTGAGGATCCTCCAACACCACTCCTTCGATCTTAGTGCCCCATGGTTCATGTTACAGTAGAGACACATACACAGATGTTTGTGAATATAACCACCCTTACCAGTCTCAATGCCCACCTCTCACAAGAAGCTTGCTGCTGCCCGTGCAAGAGCAGCACAATGGCAAACTCAGTCTCTGACATCTGAACATAGCAATTCCACTCCCACCACCGAAAAACCATCTCCACTACTCCCAACACATGCTGTGGAGGCACCTGAAAGCTTCGACATTGAATTCTGTCCAATAGAGCTGGGCCTCGAATGTCTTTCTGACTGTGGTTATATGGGTGGTGTCAGCTGTTGGTCAGATGATGATATTATTGAGTACCAACCAGACACATTTTCGAAAAGTACTCTGTCAGACTGCGAAAGCCTCTGTGAGCTCGAGGGAGATGATTTGGAGTACAATTTAAGGCAACTCACAGCAAACACCAATTCAAAAGCCCTCGAGTTGACAGCAGATGAGGCTGACACATTGTTCAAGATCATTTTGAGGCCGACGACAAATGTGATTTGGAGGAAGGCGGAACATAATAGATTGCTGGGATACAATGGACTGTCAGATCATTCTCGGTGTTGGAGGGATAAGCTGGCCCAAGACCAAGCTGAACACCGAAAAAAGATGAAGACTTCATATGTGTCAATTCAAATAGCTTGCGACTTGAAAATGTGTTCTGATACATACCTGAGCAGAGACAATCCACAGGTTGCATTTATGCAGCAGTGGTGTGTACCCAAAGACTCGAACCATACACCCAAAGACTCAAACACTACGTCCGATGTTGAACGAAATACACATACACACAGTGCACTGGCAGTTGATTTTTCTGGTTACCTTTCCGACGAGTCCGAGGATAATTTTGACTCAGATACCGACAGTGAACACAAGGATGAATACAGAGTTACAGGAAGTAGTCGAGATGTAAGCAGCCACTTGCCTGCTGTTCCACTGCTCAAGCGGCGCAAGCTCGAGATCCCTTTTTGCATGGAGCGGAAAAATGCGAAGGAAAGGCATGCAGATGAGAGGCGTGTGGCATTGGAGGCAATTGAAAAGCTGTTGAAGTCGAAGAAAACAAACTTTGTTGGTGGTCCAGATGGTTTGCAAGCAAAACGAACACGTACCATTCAAAGCCATCTTGCTCTCATTGTGAAGAGAGGCCACTCTTCAATTGAAGCATCTGAACGTGCTGCTGAAAGTCATGGGTTCGCAACTGTCTGGGGCAGCCATCAACTGTGCAGCTGGACCCATAACTGGGTGACCAAACAGGAGCTCCCTCGTTCATTGACTGGTCATCATGCCAAGGTGTATTCATTGCTTGATGACCCAGCATTAGCTGCTGAGCTTCGCACTTATGTTCATTCGAACAAGTGGGCAATCAATCCTGAAAAGCTGGCAGAGTTCTCAAAGAGCAAGTTGATACCCTCAGAAGCAGAAAAATACCTTCACACCATTGTCAATGACGGGATGCCCCATGGATTGAAGCATTACATGGAACTGGAGTTGTTTCCTCAAATTCACCTCAAAATCGGACGTGGAATTTCACTTGTCACCGGTCACCGATGGTTGCATCGAGAAGGTTTTCGATACATGTCCCATCGAAAAGGCCTTTACTTTGATGGGACGACCGGCCTGATGTTGTCTCTTATCGTCAAGAGCATTTCTTGCCAATGATGAAGGAATATGAGCGGCGTCTGGTTTGCTATGTTGTCGGAGATGTTGAAACAGAGTTCAAGGACCCAAATTGCAATTTTGTGGAACGGCGGCTTGTTCTCTGTGCACATGATGAGATGACGGCACAATCAAATGACGCAACAGATAAATACTGGGTATTTGAAGATCAGTTCAAGTTGCGAAAGAAAGGGGTGGGCCGTGGCCTCCATCGCAGTGATGTAATCTGCTCCACAGTGGGACACCTGGTGGATGCAGGTGAATCATTGGAGTACAGCAAGAATCACGAGGGATACTGGAATGGTGAGATGTTCATTAAGCAGGTGGGGGCTTTTGTATTGCTTCGAGTGTTGATTCGAACTCAAATTCAATATGATTCAGCTCAACGAAAAAATAATCCCAACATTTGAGTGCATTCACGGGCCAGGATATCAAGCATTATTCCTGATTGATAACTCACAGGGGCACTCCGCATATGCTGAAGATGCATTGCTCGTTTCTCACATGAACATCAATCCTGTTACGCACTCAAATAGATCTGTTATGCGGAGCCCTAAGAGGGGCGTCGTCCGCTAACGTTCGTGACGTAACCGGAAAGGTCCAGTGTAGTGACTGAGACTGGCGACGACGAGTCGGCAGATATCAGAGACGCGCGTGTCACGTGACTTCTAAGACGGATGTCTTCAAAGTTACTGACGTTCTCAAAGTAAGGACAGTCTTGTCTGAACGATGAGTAGTCGATCGAGGTAGACTTAGGCGCGATGAGCACCTAAGAAAAGATACTAGAGACTGAAGCTGAGGGGGCTTCAGAGGGAAGTATGTTCGAGGGAAGATTGGGTAGATTCAAGTTAGGGAATCTAGTACAGAGTGACCGACTACTTATACTAAGTGGAAAGGGTTAAGGGCAAGGCTACCGTACTGTAGGTAAGGGCAAAGGGGAAACGGAAAGGGTATAGGTACACTGGTAGCAGAGCCTGATTAGTGATGTGAGGTTGAATGCGGAATGAGACCGAGAAACGTTGGAACGAGCCAACGGTAAATGATACAATGCGCAGCACGCATGAGTCAGAGGAAAGATAAGACAAGATAAGGGAAGCCACATTGGTGGCACGAGTCAGGACGAGTCATAGCCCGAAGGCACGTGCGCACGTTGGTGCGATAGGAGGGGGATGAGGGACGGGAACGGTCCCGAGGATCCGGTCAACAGATAGTCGGTAGAGAAGTACGAGCCGGAGGCATACGAGGGCGAGGATGAAGGGGAAAAATGATAGGGGGGCCATGTAGCCGATGTTACTTGTAACAAATCCAGCAGGGAAGCAGGCTCACATGCGAAATGGATGGTTCATGTGCGATGGCATCCAGGTCAAATAGGACATGGTGTTTCCTCTGGACCACCCACAATTCCCAAATGAACCCAAAGGAGTCAAGACTGTCCTTGTTGAACAAGGCCTCCATCAACCTTGGCTGCGTGGAAAATGTGCCTCCAAGTGCAATACTGATGCAACCCCTTGTTGCAACAAGCGGATCCTCGAGCTCCAGCCGGATTTTCAGCAGCAAAAGTCCCATATCCAGGAATCCATTGGAAAAAAAAATGTCAGAAATTTCCTATTCGGGATTCATGACCTTGCAACAGGTTGCAAGGATCCAATGACGAGCCTAGGTTCCAACATGTTACAATAAAAGAGCATTATGTTACAATTATGTCACAAGCTGGTTGCAAGCGTGCCTTTCAACGAAAGTTTCAACCCAATTAGTAATATTAGCCGTCGGCTGCAAGTCGGCTTCATTGTAGGTTGCAATCGAGATCCCAAGGCTTCCTAACTTTGTCTCAATAAATATTGTTCAGTTTGAAGTCAATTTGAACATCATTGAAACCAACAAATTGAGATTACAATGAGCACTAATCTGACTGCATAATACTACTGTAATACACTGCAACAGTAGTTCTAGTTCCTTCTCCGAGTTCATGTTTCTCACTGCTCTGCTGACAATGATATAGCCGCTAGCCCACCCCTCTTTCCCCTTCCATGGCCCTGTCGACCGGAGGATGAAGCTGCTGGTGGCAGCATTTCCACACTGTCAGGTACATCAGGAACTGGAGGGGTTTCATCAGCTGCGAGCGCAACTGGCGCAGGAGGGGTTACAGTGGCAGTAGTCTCGACAGCAGGGGTTATGGCTGGTGCTAGTGCAGTGAGGGGAAAGGCAGGTGGTGCAGCCAGAGCGAGTGTCGGTGAACTGGGGGGAACCAGAGAGACACGGTGACCATCAGTAGTCGGAGAGTCTGATTCTCGATCTTCGTGCCCTGCATTGGCGAGGGCCAAGCGCATTAGATTGGATGTCAAATCCTTGCCTTCAGCGTCTGAAGTTGCGATATTGGAAGATGATGTTGACTGCCAGACATGGTGATCGATTTGTCAGCAGATCGACAGAATGTGTGGCTCTTCCCAAAGCGTCACCCACAATTGTTTGTAGGCTGTGAACATTGCTGCATATGGTAGACGAGACTTTGTGCCAACTCCATCTTTGGTGAATGAAGTGTCGGGGGACAGAATGAAGATTAACTAAAGAAATGTTAGATACTGTGAATTGATTGTAGTGAAGGCTTCAAGAACTCACTGCGACCCAACCCCAGGCAAGAAGACCAGGGGTGCATGAAATGATGCCCCATTTTCGAGTGTTGCACTTGGCACGAGGCCATCCAGCAATATCTAGCGAATTTTTTCCAAACATTACGATCCTGATTGCCTAGGTGAATTGGACCAGACAGCATAAGAATAGATTCAGACAGTGATAAATAAAACAAGTACCTTTGAGAGCGGCTCCCAATTTCCGAAAACCGTGGACATCGTAGGGTCCCTTTCCTGCCTTGTAAAAAGGACAGGTGGGAACTTCGACAATGTTGAATGACTACCTGGACCAGTACCGAGCATCTTCTGGATTTCAGGGATTGTGTCCCAATTTGTAAAACCAATGTCGAAGTACGACAGATTGAGACTGAATATTCGACCTGCCATCACCCTTAACTTGCCGATTTCGCTCGAGCGACCACCTTGAAGTTGTTGTTCTAGCTGCAGTACATAATAATAATCATTGTTAGGTCACACAATATAATAGACTGATGTACCAACGATTGAAAATGCAAAGTCAGTACAAACCGATGGAGATGGTCTGGAAGAAGTGAGTATAGCTCAGTCACAAGACCGAGCTCTTCAGCACTTTTGCTGGCATAGCGACTCCCAGATATGATTGCAGGTGGAGGGTTCGGCACAGGGAGTTTGAGGATACAATGCTCAGGTGGGAACATCTCCGCAACAATTCTGTACTTGCAGGAAAAGGTCGAGAGCTCAACATCAAAAACTTTCAGCTCATCTGGGACTTGAGCGCTTGAATGCCAGCATTGATTAGACAACAAAGTCTTGTTCTTCTTGCCCAGAGTACAGTTATCGTTCTTGAGTGCCTGGTTTTCCAACTGCAAGTGCCAAACGATCTTAAGACATGAGAATCAGTATATTGAATAGTTGCAAGCATTACATGACTACAATACCTCAACGTCCCCATGCGACTGTTGCCTGTGGCTGTTGGAGACTGTTTCAGATGACTGACGACTAGCAGTTGATGAGATCCCCGCTGTAAGAGATGGAGAGTCCAAATCGTGGAAGTCCAATTCAGATGCATCAGATTGAATGACGTGACAGGGAGCCTGCTGGGGCATAATGTCAATGAGAGAGATACCTGCAGTGGGTTGAATTTCAGACTCAGTGGTCATAAAAAATACGATGGGGCAGACAACTTATAGGTGTGGCAGTCAACGGGCAATGTCGGAACAAAAGGAACACATGGTCGTACATGAGGTAGCTTGATATTGCAGTATAGCACCGATAATCAAACAAATTAGCCTCATGGCTTGATGGGAGGCAGAGAAAACGATGCAACTTACCTGTAGACACGGCGACATGAGTCATAGCTGCATTATGTTTATGTCGAGAGGTTGTAGCTGCCGTTCTGTGATCCTCGAAGTATCGTCAAACTGAGTCTTGTCGATGTAACAATTACAGTTACAGTGTCAATGAACAATGAAGTTGGTTGAATCTAGGTTGGAAGACTGATTGAAACCATGGACTTGGCAAAATGTCAGCATATTATTACATAATCATCTGATGTCATTGACATGCAGCACTCAGCATGTGGAGAGCTGTAATTAAGTGCAATGACACATCTAGAAGTCCTTTTCCAATGAGTTAGGTTTGATCGCGTGACTGACATTCACCTTTGAGTAGTCCGACACATGCTTTTTGAAGAGGGTTCTGCACCCAGATCCCACACATCAGATCGCTGATGGACCACTGAAAATTTGGATATGTGACTCACAGAATATGATCAATCTTGGCTCACTACACAACATCGATAGCGCACATAGGATTTTCGACCTCCTTGCGCCATCTCGGGTAACCAGGCCAAGCCGTTTGTCGAGCCAGACACTTGTCAACTTGGCATATGGTCATGTTCCCCTGTCTGTTTTGAAGGAGCTCATGGCAGATGGGCTTCATGAGGAGGTCCATCAGCTGACAGAATGGAGCAGACCGGACAGCATGCTTATGGTCTGGCGAGCTGTGGAGCAAGCCGGCCATGTTGTAACATCGAGGCTGTGGCAGCGCATTGCTGGCCAGGCATGAGCACTTGGTCTTGGCCAACTCCAACCCAACAAGGAGCCTGCTGCTGGGACTGATGATTGTGATGATGTTGCAGTGAACCCATTGTTGCATGACTCGGCTAATCAGGGATGTAATCCTTACAGCGGTGAACCACTGACTCTACACGAGATGGTCCTTGAACTACTGCAGGCCGGTTTTCATCCTCTTAAGCTTGACCAAATTTTTTCCAAACTTGAGTACGGCCTTGTTCGATGAATCCTCAATGGCAACAGCCCGAGGATGGTGTGGACGACATTTGAGGTGGCTAAAGAGCAAGCAGGCAAATCAGTGTGCGTACCCTCATCATGGTTGATGCACTCGTTGGAGAACATAAGGCCAGGTAGTCTCCATGGCATCAAAGAGGTATTCGGGGTGGGTGGAATCCTTGATGTAAGTGTCGATGGGGAGAAAGTGGGTTTGAAAGTGATGGCAGGCTCAGAAAGTTGAGGGATACCATCAATCCAGGCTTGTTGCGGCGTTGGACCAGTTGTTGTGCCGTCCTGGGTGCCTAAGCAACAGATTTGAGGCTACCTGCTACGGAGAGCCAATGACCAATATTATGGGAATCTTCTGGATCGTCAGCTGCAGAAAGCCAATGACCAATACTGTGCAAATCTTCTAGAAGCATGCAAGCTTCCGAACACACGATGAGATGCCTGCAAGAATGTCCATAGTACATTTACCATATCTAAAAAGTTAAGTTGAAGATTTATTCGCAAATGAAATTAAGTCACTGACTTTCAGGTGGGTCAATTTCACCAACAAACTTCTTGCAAAGCTCTTCAAGCTTGTCCTCGACACTTGCGATCATTGATCAAAACAGGAAGGGTGTCCATTCAGATGGCTTGGTTGGCGAGACTAGTGAGGTAATACTTGCCAGGGCTGTAGCAGCCTAATTATTCAGGACATGTTAGCTAGGACAACATAGATTAAGTTAAGAATGTGCAAACCTTCTTGCTTGGTGTTGGAGCAGGTGATGATACATGAACTGGTGCAAGAGTAGAAGCAGCGGTAAGTGGCATTACTATCTCTAAATGTCAGTTCAACGGGGAGGCTGCCGCTGAGGCATGCCACAGAGGCTTCTTGTGCTATCACAAATATATTGGTGCTTAGCATTGCACTTATGATAGTATGGTCTCCATCTGAATCCACACCCTTGCCCACTCTCATGAACCTTCGCCCAGTTCTGAATCCAACCCATGTATACATCTTTGAAATGACCGAGGGCGATCCTATCTGTGGAGGCCATTCCCCCAAATAGCCAGATTGCCTTGACCTGCTGCGCCTCCAAGGTGTACAGCTGGCGAAAAACTGCTCCACCTCTCAAACAGTTGTCACAACCTTTTGGGCAAAGGTGGGAATCAAAACACTTGTTGAAATGTGCAAGGATTAATGACCATTGGCAGTCAGCCTCTGAATCATAGTGGCAGTAATGGGCCGTCGCTGAGAGGTCTTCCAGTTGTCGCTTTTTCTCCTCTGGAGTCCGAGCTGGTCCTTTGTCATTGCGGCAGGTGAGAGGGAGTGTGGTGCACAGGATAATGATCGTTGTTGAAGGGGAAGCTAATAACTCGCTGCTTTAGTGTAGGACAATGCAGTCAAACAAAGGTCAAGGTGAACAAATCAGTCACAAGTAACCTAATAACCAGCTGTAGTACTATTAGTACAAATTTCCTTTATGCGAAGGAACATATCTGTATCGAGAGTGTCAACAACCAAAGCCTCATTGGGTCTGCTACTGTCTTCCACCAATACACAACCACGGATGATGGATTGCACTGAAAAGAATTCCACAGAGACTCGAGGCTTTGCCTTAACTCGCCAGAAGTCAAAATCTTTGTCCTCCTGTGGACAAGCACCAACAGGTTGATCATATGGGAGAGTGAGCACGATAGGGTATTAGACATCTCCGACCATGCAGGTAAAGACCATCAATAATTGTGCGAAGATGACGCTAGCTTCTGTCTGCAGGATGACGAAATCATATTGAGGCAATCCGTGAAACATTGAACTGCATCGGAGATAATCGGCAGATACATGCCAGTCAACGAGTGATTCATAGTTGACTTTAAGAAATCAGTACTTAGTGATCTGTTAATGATTCCGATAAGTTACTAATAATGTGCTTTGCAATGTTGACACACCGTGTCATCAGCAGCGAGTTGGATTCAGCTCCCATTGGGAAATGGTATATTATTGGCATTGAATGTATGGTTCAAAAATTTGTTCAGCTTGATCCAAAATCAAATGAAGGCCGGATTGCCTGTCTTACTGGCTTCGACATCTGCAAATGACTGCATTGCCTGCAGTGAGCCAAGACTGAAATGTAGCCCATCTGTCATCGGTTCAGTCTCTGAATCAATCTTGGGCAGATCTGACACGTCGAGTAGGCTGAGTTTTTGCGCATCAAGACAGCTCAACTTGCCGCAAATGTATTCTGCGATAAGGCTGTCATGGTTATATCGGAGAATCTTCAAATTCCATCAGCACTTAATATACACTGTTGTAATAGTAATGCTTACCTGCTCAGTGAAGTTCTTGAAGTTTGTACGATCCTGATAAGCATCCTTCAGTGGGCCATGCATTTTTTCATTCAGTTTTGTGTTATAGTTTTGGGTGACACCTTTTGCCTCAATATTGTCAAAGAGATGTGCAGAAAGATGTTTCTTCGGGAAATTCCACGACTTGTCAATTAAGTCTAACGTGTCTTTGATGTATTTCTGACTCGCAATAGTTGAATCAATGTGTTGCTGGTTGAGAATATAATATATGAAGAACATACATCCATCAATTGAGTCAAATTTTCGAGAGCTTTTCGGCCATCTTTGATAGTGTCTTCAGTATGGACGTCTAATGAAGCATATGTGTTGAATTCCACATAGCTACAAATACAACGGAGCAGAAGATAAGCCTCTGAATCCTGATCTTGACGAAATACATTATGAGCTGCAAAGACAATAAGCTACATTTGTTTAATTAAGTTAATGGTGGATAGTCTACTACTAGAGTAACTTTCCTTTGACATATCTTCATACTTCATTCCATCAGAAAAAGATATCGATGTAACCTGGTCAAAATGATTGAGATTTCGCCAGCATGGAAATGAGTGAAAGCTGGAAATCTAAATTAGCATCTGTAAAACATAGACAAACCTAAGCACGAGCTATCAATCTGCACAGCAGCTTGTCGACCTGAACTTTCGATCCACTTTTGCAGTTCAGCCCACAGGTGATCACTGAAAAGGCCACCATCATTAAAGTGGAGTTTGTCATTTGAGAGAGCCCGATGAACATCAGTATTCTCCATGGTATCAAATGAATTCTAAGTATGACAATTTAAACATTAATAGAGTCAGAAACAAAACAAAGACTTACATCAACATCACGAAGGCTCTCGGAGCTCAGTATTTGTTCTCGCACTTCCAAGGTTGTAGACTCTCGGGCCTGAACACGTAATGCCTTCGCACCTGCAGATGTGCAAAGAGGATAAATATTAGATGTCTTAGAAAGCTCATCACGAGGCACAAGACATATAGGGCAAGGGAATTTTCCCATCAGACCACGAATCAATGCCATCACAGACCTGTAAGAGTGTCAAAGATGTTACCGAGGGAGCATTAATATTGACACAAACTGTTCTTCGTAGTCTGCAGAGAGTATGAGTATGATCAGATAGAAGATATGAATGATGTCATCCCAGCATTTAACAGCAGATCCAAACTTCGACAGTGGTGCAAGGCAGGCAAGGATCTTCAGAAATGATTGATGCCATACTGCATTTTTGAAGTTGACATATACCAGCTTTCCAGAGCGCTTCTTGTCCTCCTTCACCTGTCAAAGTACTGTTAGTTGATAATATTCAGTCATTGAGTGAAGGACAGAATTAACAATTGGTAGCCATCCCACTACATGTCCACCACCCAAGCCTTCTCCATTATGAATGGCAACAGGAAGGTTAGCACACCGAGCAACAACAGGATAACCTTTCACCCGACCAAATGACGACAATTTGGCTTTATCTGCATAAAGAATGAAGGCGAGAGGCTTGGCATCTGATGGTATTTTTGACTATAACAATGCTACATTAATACATGGTGCAGACCCATAAAACAATAGTGTCACGTACTTGATACTCCCAGAATGTGTTGGCTGTCCAAGGCTCATGAATGAACTGAACGAACTTGTCACTGTTAAACTTCGAAAGCCGTTCAGCATCAAAGACAAAATGCGGACCAACTTGGGGATCCTGAAGGAGATCCACAGCCCAGTCCCATATTGAGCGATGGAATAGTTGAAATGTCTTATCATCACCTTGAAATGGCACAACTACCTCTTCCTTTACAAACTGTTATCGCAAAAGCCTTAGATTAGTTTACACTTAGAGAAATTGAATACAGACAGGTGTCAATTTAAACGAAGCCATGTCCCATGTATCTCGTACATCTTTGCGATTCCGAAGCGTGAACTGTTCAGACTTGGTGTGACGAATGAGGTCAAAAAGCTGGTCTGTCTGCTGGTGAGTGAGTGCTGCTTCAAGAACAAGCTCCGCAACTTCGAAGTCGATCCGAGTTTGGAATGGGTACCACGGCTCAGGTTCAACTGGTGGAACTACTGTGGGGGCGCCAAGACCATGTCCATAATCCTCAAACTGAAAAACCTGTGTTGGGCGCTGACTATTGGGATGATACTGCACTTGGATGTCATCCTCCTCAAACTGGGGTCGAGGTGATGCCGTTCTAGATTCGGGTGGTGAAGAACCTGAAAGGAATGTTGTGAGCTGAATGGATGGAGAAGGCAGAGAGAATAAATGTACTATTCATCTGTCCGATGTCAGGATCATTAGGATAGTCTATTTGACCATCAATATCGAAGGCATCATTGTCCTGTGAATGATGATAGGCAGCGGCTTGAATGAAAAGCCCAAAACAAGTCACAAATGGCAATCAATTCAAGGCTGTGAGCTAGATATTAGTGAAAACGTACGAAGAGCTGAGCTGGATGGTTGGTCGCCAACAAACACAGGTCCAGACCCTATTTGCGCATTATGTTCTCTCTCTATGAATTGATTTAAATTGATTCAGATGCAACATCAATTGACAGATTGATATTATGTTGTACCTCGGTGAATCTCTCTAGCAAGTTCAACATCCTCTCTCCTCTGTTCAGATCGCTTTCAGCATGCGTTTTCGTGCATCCGGAGACCTTGTCGATGGTAGGATGCACCACAAATTGAACACAGGCGATACTTATCTGGAGGCATATGATGATGAAAGTTGTGGTGTTCTGTCATAATACTGATGCAAGTGTTAGATTCAGACTTCAAGATGATACTGACATACCAGTAAGATGTAGAAAAACAATTGGGGGGCGCAGTTGATAGAGGGAGGAAGTGTTGACTGGATCGGACAGTGCTGCAGTGCATGCTGCAGAAGACGTATTGATTCAAAAGTACATAATCAGTGTCAACAAGGTTGTGACCTGGTATCAATAATGTGACTCACCTTGAATAATCCAACTTTCGCTATCAATATCACAACTTCGGTAGAAATATTCCTATTGAGTATCAATAATGGAACATCGGTACAAAATCTCAACTCGGTATCAATACAGTTGGTACCGAGACTCAAAGATACCCTATTGCAACCGACTTAGGAAATTTCCGACAAAGCTGGGCATCTCTGCATTTTTCTGCCGAAGTTCCACTGCAAACTCAATTTCATTGAATATTTCTGGGGGAAGGTCAAGAAATATCTCCAAGACAACTGTGACGGCACTTTTGAGACATTGAAAAAGAATATGCCCTTGGCAATGCAGTCTGTGCAGCTCAGTACGATCCGACTGTGGGAGCATTGCATGCACTGCTGGATGGAGGCATATCAGACAGGCCTGGAGATGAAAGATGCTCAATTTCAGGTCAAACAATTTAGTTCTACTAAGTATAAGTCACATAGACGTGTTCCTGAGATGGTGGCATGTACTTTCGACTGATGGGGGGTCATAGTTCTACATGTGGCCAAATCGGCATCTTGATGAAAATTTTTCTCACTCAAATTTGATCCAATCGAAAATCCCTCTTGTAGTTTTACTCTACTCATCAAAAGGATCATTTCTACAAGAGTATATAAACATCCGATTTTTTTTGAAGGGGGTGGGAACTTTGCACAAAAGTAGTGGTGTCTAAGTGATCGGCACCATAGTAAGGGTCACGGACAAGTTTGTCTATTACTAATTCTAGTCTCTTTTTGTCATCCGAAGGGTTTTCCTGATGAGTGATTTACCCCAGATTCTCATTCACTCTACCAACGACCACATGGAGCCATCCTTATCCCCAATTAAATCATTCAGAGGCCATACTAATTGGTTAGGCAGACTAGTGTTCTCGAAACAAAGGAATGAACTCAAAGTTATAAGCACCTCCTTGGATCAGACTGTTCGGATTTGGGACGTGGAAACAGGAAAGCAGGAAAGCTCGCTGGAGCAACACACTAGTATAACTTGTGGACTGGCTGTATCAATGGATGGGAGAAGAATTGCGAGTGGGGCGCAAGATGGCAAGATCATCATATGGGACGCAGATACGAAGGAGATCATCATTTGTCTGTCGCATCACACAAACTTGGTCACTTGCATACGGTTCTCACCTGACGAGAAAAGAATCGCCTCCGCTTCAGAGGACGGTACACTAAACATCTGGGATGTAGAAACAGGGGAACTTGTATTCGACATCGATGATCACCAAGGCCCAGTAGGGACAGTGGCCTATTCTCCCAATGGAACCAAGATTGCAAGTGGGTCGCTTGATTGCACGGTTCGCATTTGGAACGCAACGACTGGCAGGCAGCAAAACCAACCACTAATCCACGATAGCCATGTGTTATCAATGGTTTGGTCTGCAGACAGTCGTCGTCTCATTTCTGCCTGTACTGATGGCCACATCTACTTCTGGAGTGCACCGACTGGTGCCCAGCTCGGATCCCCACTGCATGCACATTCCGACGCCATTGTCTCATTGGAAATCTCCCCTGACGGCGAGCTGATAGCTAGCGCGTCCGCTGATAGCACTGCTAGGCTGTGGAGCACGGCGACCCACAAACCTTTCGGTCGTGTGCTCCAGCATGCCAAAAGGGTATCTGCAATAGCCTTCTCTCCAAACGGCCAGCTTGTTGCCACAGGCGGCCGGGAAAACATAATATTTCTGTGGGATATATCAGAGGAGTCTGCATTGATGATGAATGTAGTGTCAGCCTCATCCGTTTCCCCAGCGTCTAATATCATAAGCTATATGGACCAGGTAACAACTTTAGGTCTTGTCTGAATAGCAGTATATCTGATATCAATGTATTTTAAGCCGCCAGCAAGCTCCGATTTTCTTTCAGCCTCTTCTGCACCAGCACCGGACGAAGTACAGGATGTAACCGAGTTGCATGAAATTCCTTCTCCAGTCCGCACCTCTTCTCCAGTTGAGCTTCCGGACGGAATTCAAGCTCTTCCAGAAACTACCAACTCGCGCAATGCAGAACCATCCCTTTCTCCATTTTTGTCTTTTGAAAGTTCTTTGCATCCTCAAATAGCCACTACCTCGGCTTCCGCTCCAGTCCTGGCGTCACATCCGAAATCATTTTGGAAGCGTTTTCTTATGTTCAATAGGTCTGCATCGTCTGTAGACTCCAAGCGGTGGAAATTCCCGCGCATCGGTAGTATCATGTACGCAACCCTTCACTCTCTGCTGAACTATGGATATGTTCTGAATTTGATTCCTAGGCAGCGCAAGCATCGGAATGTGGAATCTCAAGCAGTTGCCAATGATGCCTAGCACCAATAGGTCTACGACTTCGGTTTTTATGTATTGTCTGGTATTGTCTTAGTATCATATGATACTCTTTTGGTTAGCTGTCACCCTTGCCCCTCGTTCTATGTGTTGTCCCTCCCCTGCCTATGTAGTCTGGTTGCAACACCTACGTCCTCGACTGCTATCAGACGTGCGTTCGCGGTCACAAGTGTCCACGGGAAATCACATGATACGAAGTAGACGCAGCTATGCATGGGAAGAGATCAAACAGTCGACCGTCAAACTCGCTCACCCGACCGTTTCCCTATACACGTACGCCGTTACTTGCGAATAGGAACCTTTGGTTTGTTTCGTCAAAGATCCCCGGGAAACACCTCTTTTTGGAAGTTGACCGCTTGGAAAGTTTCGCCGAGCCTGCGGCTCCTTACACATCATATTTAGGAGAGCTGATCATCTATTCATTTATATTACGCTTTGAAAATCCACGGTCTTGTCCTATCATTCGTTGTCTGATTCGTTCAGTGTTTCCCGCCGTAACCCCGGCGGGTTTCCAGCGACAAGCCTATTCTTCATTCTCTCTACTTCTGCCAATCGCTACGACATACGACCCGCTCGCATAATTTATCCCACCCTCCCAACGATCATAGGTTAGAATTATACTTCTCAGATTTCGTCTCATCCAATATTGGATTATATTGCACATGCACGAACCCTCCCTGATCATGTCATATTCATCAGGCAAACGTAATTCACTACAGAGTGCTACAGAGCGCTCTGTAGCACTCCGTAGCACGATCCAACCCGCTGATGTTGTATATCAGTATTCAGTCATTCAAACAGCCCACATGTCGAGTTTCCCCCTCACACCCAGCGGCAATCTCGCCAGCGCCCGAACCGAGCTACCGCTCGGTCCCAGCCCAACCATTGTTTGCCTGATCCTAACGTTGCTCTGCGATAAACGAAGCTGGACGCTGATGACGGTCAAACTGAGTGGTCAGGTAGGTCCCACCAGCTAGCCATTCACAATTGGTCCACAGGCTATCTATTTCACTGTGTAATCTCAAACTGGTACTGGCAGAGATTGTGGGATTAATTCGTTGGCACCATCGCCGCGCAAAGTAGTGTCCGTCACTGACATAAAGCACAGTTTGTAACAGGCAGTGCGATGAGAGTTCGTTTCTCAAGTTGACGTAAAATTGACGCTTTAATGTTATGCATCTTTTGCTATTGCCGTAGTGAGATGTCACGGTTAACTTGGGCTAGGGCAGCCCATCAGCTCCGAGTCCGAGTCGTATGGTGGCGGCACAGCAACGCTCGCGAAGCCGCGAAATCGAGATTGAAAAAAAATGTCATGATCTATGTACTAGTAAGAACATGCAGCAACTTACCTGTTTCCATGTGCAGTATGTACTACTGGTAGTACGGTACCAAATGAACAACACCATTGTGATGAAGTGCATCACGGAAGGGAAGTTCCGAACCGACCGCAACACGCTACCGTGACGGCACAGCAAATGGCAAGTCGCTAGAAGGCTGTGAACCTTATAGTGGCCTTGAGCTCCTGCCTCGTGCAACTTGAACTCCTTCCATATTCAACTAATCTATGGATATACAGGACCCTAAAAGTTTGCAAATTTGAACGTTTGAACCCTTGGCTCGGATCAAAAGAATTTGAACACAACTGCCAGAAGACTACTACTAGTAGCGGCCGCCTGACTACTCGGAGGGTACTAGGGTTCCAGTATCACGAAGGAACTTCGTTCTTATCCAAATCTTATTTATGCCCTGCCTAGCTAGTACTCGCAGCAGGTGTGGGTATGTACATGTGCTACATGCATGTGTGTGTATCGTGTAGTAAGTAATACTACTCGTTTAGTAGTAGGTGCCTCCTTTGACTAATATTTAAATGAGTCATAGCTACATGCACGTAGAAGTACTCGAGCAATCGGGTCAATGTGCTGAACTTCATTAGCTAAAAAAACGACTCAGACTCCTTTCTTACTTCGTCTAGTATAAAGTCGCTGACGCGCGTGACATTGACTCAGATGTCATTCGAGTTACGTTCCGAGCTGATAGCCCGCTTCCCCATCGTTCGATACGTCCCCATACCTGACGTTGGGTACTATGATTTGACATCTTTCCCCGAACCGTTGGGCGAGTCACCTGTGCAGACTGTTTACCTCGAGGCGCATAATGCACGATGTGACATTTGTTTGGTGGATTTTGACCCACCTCCGAGCAAAAGTTTGCATACCGTCGCCGAGATCGAGTCTGATCCTCTTATACAGCTTCCATGTTCTCACGTATTCCATGTAAGTCAGCCGGATCCATAGAGAACGAGTTCTGAATATTCGTTTCCTGCAGAAAGGCTGTATTGGTAACTGGCTTCTTGGAACATCGCAATCCACGTGTCCTTCATGCCGCGCAAACGTCATTCAAATGGAACGTAGTGGTATTCGGAATTACAGCAATCGGTCTGTGCCGACATCCAAAAGCCCCGAAACTCCCATGAAGCAATCTATGGGCAGATTATCACCGTCACCATCCCTAACCAGCCACAATAGTCATTCACATGTGTCGAAACGCCCCACAATGATTCCTATGGAGCAATCTGCAGGCAGACCGTCACCGTCACCCTCCCAGACCATCCACAATAGTCATTCACATGACTCATTGCCGTTCCCACCTGTTTGGCCAACAGCCTCAAGCCAAAGCTCTTTGCGCCCAACTCGGAGAAGGCCGAAGCGCCAATTTTTTGCCAAAGGTGAGGCAAAAACCTTTATTTCAGCCATTCCGTGTTGCCTCAACTTCTTGACAGCATTTTCAAGTATTCGTAGACTCTTTCCGTAAAGAGGGCGAAGTGGCTATGTGTATATTAGAATAGTTCTAGGCATTCGTATCATGTAATCTTGTATGTCATCATTAGTCTTCAGATATCCTCTACTGTCAGTGTGAACGAGACTTGAGTGCTTTCGACTATTGCTGACAGTCCCTTTAGCACCGTACTACAACATCATATTGCTAAACGCGTATACATATACAACCAAAAAAGTTACCTCAATTCACATCTCGTCACCGTGACTTCCCTCTGGCCGGGTCAGGTTCTTCGCATGATCAGAGAATGAGCATTACCGGCAAGGATTTTCTTGAAAATCGAGAACTGAGACCATAATACTTGATATTCTTGGTCGTTCAATTTTACCTTGTTACAGCAGCGTCAAATACCTGAGTGCTTACATGGCCATGGCATAATCATACACTACACATCTGCATCATCAGTGTCTGCATATCGTACAAGAGGATCAATTGGAAACCAAAACATAATACTGCACGTCGATCTTTTGCCTCACAATCCTCCCCGTAAACGAAGTACTGAACAGACTGGGTTAACGAAGACCAAAAAATCTTGGCGAACCCATTTACTCACCAAGATGCAACGTGCTCTCCTTCGAAATATTGTAGTCCGCTAAAATCCTATCGGGCACGAGTTGTTTCCCACCGAATAGGATGCGCTGCTCAGAAGGTGGAATGTCCGTCCTCTCTTGGATCTTCTTCATCAGATTTTCTACCGTGTCCGTCGGCGAGATCATCAGGGCCATCGTCTTGCCATTCAGATTCTTGACAAATATCTGCACCTCTGATTCTTGTCCTCGTCTTCGTCTTTGAGGCTCCGTCTTCACAGCGATCTTAAGGCCAGGTGGAATAGCTACAGACATTCCAATTGATCATAAGGTCGACAGGGCTGGAGACAGGCAGAGAAGCGTACACAGCTGCATTACGCTCCCATTTGCGACACCATAATCTTCAAGGGTACCGTCGTCTTGGAGAACTCTCCCGGAAAACAGCAAACGCTGATGTTCAGTGTCCACTTCAATACTCTCCGATATTTTCTGTTTGAGGAACAAAACGGAGCTGCTGGGTGGCGCAAAGATATCAAGTTTTTGGTCATGTATCGTTCGGATTGAGATCATGATCTGTCCTGGAAGCGTCATACTGATTGTATCCCTTTCTATCTGACGAGGAGCGACTCTGTCGTCCGATTCCTGAGGGGTGGGCAATGGACATGGCTGTGGAAGCATTCCTCCCCTCAGGCGAAAGTCTGAAACATGAGTAATGATACTGTTAGACAAGAACCTTTTGTTAGATCCGATCCTGGGCTCACCAAAGCTCAGCGTGCACCCGTTGGAGACATTCGCACTCGCAAACGTTGCGCGATCAGGCAGATCGTGGCCAGCAAAGGTCAACCGCACATCTGCAGTATTGAAATCCGACGAGCTTCATATCCATGGAACAATGAGACAGAGAAGGAAATTATCAACAGAGACTTGCCTGGTGATCCCCAGAATCCTGCTCTTGAGAGAATTAGCAGTATCCTGCGGGGACAACTCAACAGTGAAGGTCGTGCCGAAAGGGTTGTTTACGAAAAGCTGCATTAGATGAGGACACTGCTCTGGCGCACAGCAGACCCGTTGAACACACACAAAATACCGAAAAGCAAGTTACCCAGAGTCCAATTGTGTGTTTGCCTTTATAGGGGCCGCAAAGCACCACTGCATGAAAAATTCAAATGCAAGTTGCCTAAAGTTCAAGACCTCATGGCACCCTCACTGCTTCAAAGAATTCCAGGATGACTGATGCGGCAGGAATGAAAGTTTAATTTCCACTGCCGCGTGCATGCCCTAAGCCCTAGAGTCTTATTGGACCCTGACGGGAACAATGGGCGTCATTGGAACGCGCGCTTTCAGCATGTCCACAGCACGTTGATGCCGGTGCTTGATCTGCCGAGAAGGGGCATGTCAAGTTTGAACTTACACATTCCATTATGTCAGAGGTTCGAGTAGGCCGCGTCACTACATAAGGATGTATCAGTCGAAGAATGTTCGACATCTTGCCTTGGTTGTGAATCTTGTGATCATGTTACAAAACGAAGATAACCATGATACCTTCAAGTTCACGGCACGAGCCAACGAAATGCTGCAAAAATCCACTGACATCGCCGTCAAATTGCATCAGAACGAAGGTTAGTCAAGGTTCACCTTGGGGGCATTGTCTTATCCTGGCTCTCCATAGTCACGCCCATGCACATGATGCTCGTTGCCCTATGCGGGGTTTCTGTTGACGTAGACCATTTGGATCAATTCTCGCCGGTGCAGCCTTCTCACCTATGGGGCGTCTTAAAAGAACTCGAGATTGAGCCTGTGAGATATCCCATTCGAATTGACAAAGCTAAACTGAGACTCGGACCAGCTTGATGTTGCGAAAAGCGTCAGAGCAACTCTACTACAAGTAGTATCTGAACTCCCACGGTCCCGCCCGGGTAGTTTGGGCAATACAGAGGCTACCAAAACGGTTCAAGCTCATGTAGGCTCAGTCATTTATCAAACTCGCCTTTCCTACCTTTCTGCTTACTGGAATATTTTCAGAATGGGGCCTTCTGGCGTCGTCCAAAACGAGCTCCTCGATCCAAAGGCATTAACAGGGTGCATTCTCAGGCTAACTTGAATGTTCCTGTGCCGACCCGTGAGCTCAGTGTTCTTTCAAAAATGGACGAGGATTGACATATCTGACACTACAGGTACACCTACCCCTGGGCCTAGTCAAGCTCTGATCGAGGTTTTTCAGCGTGCCCAAGCAGTAATGAGGGAAATGGTGAGCATCAACCTATAATACTCACATGATACAACCAGTTAACTGATCACGATCCAACAGCAAGATCTATACGCTAATCCGTATCATCTAAGCATTGCAGTCGTGGCATCCCCGGAGATTGCGACGATACTTGCCAAAGATCATGCCATTTCGAAAGACGATGTAGTCAGATCATTGAAAGATTCAAAAGGTTCGAAGGTTATTACGAAGGATGACGATAGCTTTAAATACCTTACCCGGTAAGTTTAGTTCCTCCAGGGACCGTTTGGCAAAATTTGATTTCTTCTCGCTGACATAGGTACGCAACTGATATGTTGGCATTGGCGCGCGAAAGCAAATATGATGACACTATCGGAAGGGTATGTCCCTTCAAGTTTTCATGCACCACACTTCTGTTGTTTTAGTGGAAATGTAACATTTACCTTAATTGCAGGACGAGGAGATTCGTCGTTCTATCCAGATCCTGTGCCGTCGGTTAGCATCCACAATTGTTCATCTGATCTGTGTTCGTTTATTGATCATCTCGACCAGAACCAAGAATTCTGTTGTTCTGTTAGGTTTGGGTTGTTTGCACGACGTTTGTTGTTTCTAGTATTGAAAGATCTCCAGGTGAACCAGGAGTCGGAAAGACAGCGGTCGCTGAGGGTCTCGCCCATAGAATGGCTGCAAATCAGGTCCCACAAAATCTGAAGGGCACACTCTACAACCTAGACTTGGGCGCGCTTTTTGCGGGAGCAGGAAAGGGTGAATATGAGGAGGTAAGAGATACGTTGAAATGCTCTTTTATTTTCCCGCACTGATGACCCTTATAATTGCATTAGCGCGTCAAAGGTGTCATAGATGGTATGCTTCGCTCTGATACGCGTTTTATCTTCGTTTATATTTGTTTTCAAAGACGTGAAACGCAGTCAAGAAAGCCAGTCCCCAGCTATTTTATTTATCGACGAGCTCCACCTTATATCTGTTGGAAAGGGACAGGGCGGCCAAGCTGGGATGTACGTCTTGCCATTGTATCGTTGTGACACATCGAAGCTCATTTGCATTCACAGGGATGCAGCAAACCTACTGAAGCCTGAGCTTGCGCGTGGTCAATTCCGGTGTATAGGTGCCACGACGCTAGCAGAGTATCGGGAGCATATCGAGAAAGATGGCGCGCTTACACGCCGGTTTGCTCAGGTTTGTATTGCCCTGCTGGGTAGAGATAGGTTGATAACGTGCTTCATAGGTTATTGTTGATGAGCCAACAATAGATCAAGCCAAAACTATTCTACGTGGCTCTCGGGAGCGGTACGAGAATCACCACCGTGTTTGGATCATGGATCAAGCAATAGTTACTTCAGTCGAACTCGCTCACAGGTATCTCACTGCAAGAAGGTATTTGTCCACATTGTGATATCAGAACCGCTATCAATTTCTCTAGTATAGATTACCTGACTCGGCATTTGACCTCATGGACGAAGCCTGTGCTTCTGCAAGAGTACAGCAAGATTTAAAGCCAGAGACCATAGAGGAACTTGAACAAGGCGTGGTCCAGCAGGAACATTACATTCGGTCCCTCGAGGTACATTGTCTCTTTTCATGTCCAGCGGATATGAGTTTCGATGGACGCTTAATCTTCTTTTCCATAGCGCGATAATTATCCTGGTGACGACAATGCACTGAACGAGGCCAAACAAGCTATGCAGCAACTCAAAGCGAAGTTGAGATTTCTAGAACGTGAACAGAGTGCAGTAACAGAATGGTGGAAATTGATCGCGAGCTATCGTGACGGCATTCAAAAGAAGAGGTTGGAGTTGAACACAGCGAGAAGGTTTGTTTATCCACCTGTGACAAACGGTGCACACGATTCATTAATTTGCTATAGCCAACCTTCGATAGATTCGAAGAAGATTGCCCGGCTGGAAGATGAAATGAAACGACTACGAGATAGCCTTGTTCGAACGGAGCAGAAAGGTCCGGTCCAAAAAGGTTCGGGAGACCAAAGAGATTCCGAATTTATGGACCATCAATTTGTGTCCCTCTTGGCCAAAAACCGACGCACTGTCTCATCTCCAGACATCATCACACCAGAAAGCATAGCTGTTATTGTGGAAAAGGCAACGAAAATCCCAGTGCGACAGTTACTGGACACGGATAAAGAGCGTCTCCTGCATCTTCAAAGTACCCTGGAGAAAAAGGTTCGCTAAACCCTATTCTGCATGTGAGAGCGGGAAGTCGACTTACGACTATGTACGTCTATCCAGGTCATCGGGCAACCGGAAGCTATCGATGCCGTAGTGAACGCTATCCAGCTATCTCGCACTGGACTGGGCAACGCCAACCGACCAAATGCCTGCCTGCTCTTTACCGGACCATCTGGTACTGGGAAGACATTACTGTCGAAGGCTGTAAGCTGACGATCCATCTGATAAACTCAAATCTTACTAATAACCTTCAGCTCGCAGAGGAACTGTTTGGACAGTCTACGGCAATGATCCGCATCGATGGCAGCGAATATTCTCAAAGTCACTCTGTTTCGCGACTGGTGAATATACCCTTGCGGAGTGTCGATGACGCAGGAACGTATGCTGACGTACGCAGATTGGTGCCCCTCCAGGATATGTGGGTTATGATCAAGGCGGACAGCTTACAGAGTATGTTCGACGGACGCCGTATTGCATTATCTTACTAGATGAGTAAGGCTCGTTTAATGATTTGTTTGTACCGCTTTACATATGCCTTCAGGATCGAGAAAACTTGCGCGGAGTTCTTGACATTGTTTTTGCAAGTCATGGACGATGGACGCTTGACGGATGGACAGGGACGGCTGGTGGATTTCCGGTGAATTCTGGCTGATCTACCACGGTCTGATATCACTGCTTACTCAGATTCGCAGTAATACAGCAATTATCATGACATCCAACGTTGGTGCAGACATTTTGAGCAAGGAAAGTGGGAAGATATCCGATCACATCAGGCAAGCTGTCATGCAACGTTTTAAAGAGGCCAGATTTTCTCCCGAATTCCTCAACCGAGTCGATGAAGTCGTTATGTTTGTAAGCACTCGCGCAACCACTGCACCGCGTTACACCGCTGATCGTACTCATGCATGCCTATCACAGAGGACCATGTCGGCTGATATGATGAACAAAGTTTTGGATAAGCATTTGGGAGACTTGCGACAGCGGGATGGCCTGAAGAAAATGACGCTAGACCTCGATCGTGCTGCAAAGAAATGGCTCATTGATCGGGGTATTTCAAGGGAATACGGTGCCCGTCTGCTCACGAGAGTCATCCAGGGAGAATTGCTTAACCCACTTGCACGTGCCATCCTGCAGAAAAGTGTACGTAATGACGAAATTGTGCTGGTTCGTGTCAAGGACGATGGGCTTGGCTTGGACATTCGCTCTAGCCAGAGATCCTAGCCGGCGTAGTTTGCATATGTGCCTAGACCTACTTTTGCTTTATGTTTATGTAACCCATGGAGCAGCGCCGTTGATAATCTAGATATCGCTACACTCCCATGAACAAATCGCTAGAGACTGATGAGGGACAATGCAATACTCGTTTATTGTGATCTGCGTACACTAGAGTAACAATGGGAGTGAGAGGGTGACCGTTTGATCAAGGCCCAACGAGTTGCAACTTGTTAGCTTGAAAGGCCGATCGCTGTACGACATCGTGCCTGATATATCCGTTACCAAATTGGTTTAAAAGGGGGTAGCTTGCCATGGTTGTGGGGAGGCAAGCCTTGCCTCGAGGGACTTCTCATTTATAGTTAGCGCGCGGGTAGTCGCACGATCGTGGCGACACGCCCACTTAGTTATAGTAAGAGTACTGCATCACACGAGGCATCTTCCGATTGGGAGATAGAGAATTATGAGCTGGGCAGTGGGGAGGACCCTTCTGGTAAATTCAATACAGCAGTATGCAATACATACCGAAATGGTGTACAGCCCAGGGAAAGCTATGAGCCTGAGATTTGGAGGCGGATGTATGATGGAATGGTACATTGGTGGTTCCCAAACTCGCCTTGTCTGTAGCCCGCTGTTGCTTCTGCAGTCTGAAGTAGAGAAATGGCCAGTATGCTACTCTTGACAGACCCGAATTTTCAAGAGCTACTTCCAATACCCATCTTGTGCGCAGATGTTACGAAGTCGCCCGGACAGTATGAGAAATATTGGGTTGTCGACATAATTCACTTCAAAGAAAGGAACAAAGTGGGTAAGTATCTTGATCACCTGGTATATGTATACCATACATAACACAAACAGGACACGAATTCGTTATTCTTAGTGTCTTCGATTGCGGCACTAACCGCCCGCTCTTTCACTTGTGTGCAGAACGTAGACCATCCAGACGAAAGCCCGATGAACAGAAAAAGTTTGAGCCGTCGTCGAAGCGAGCTCTCTGGATCTCGAAGCTAGATTTCTTGTTCTCTCCTAGCGACGACACGATCAGCAGACTTCGGGAGAATTTCAAGGCAGATAATTACGACCACCTAGCCAGTCTAAATCTTGGCTTGCCTAGCCTGAAAAAACTTAGCTTTCTCGCAGCCTGCCAAATCTTCGAACAGGTTGAAAATCAAGCGTGGTATTATGAACTGTTTCGACGGCAATGCTACTGGTTCTGCACCAACTTTCTCAAGCGAGTGGAAAACAAGACCGAGCTATCCAAGATAGCCGGTAGACATGCTAAACGTCAAGGCACACCAGGATACGGATGTATCTTTGGGGGTAGATTTAAAGTATTGAAGGAGCATGATGTCGAAGGGGACATTCAAGAGAGAAACCGCAGACAAAAAGATCAGGCAAAGAAGCGGGAGGATGAAGACCGTGAGGGGATGAAGAACATGATGGTTGATGCCATGCAAAGGAGAGAGCAGGAGAGGCTCGCAGCGTTGAAAACAATACGCCAAGCAATCCAGCCGATGTTAATAACGACCCAAGCACAACAAGAAGCGGAGGTTCTAGCTTGGAGGTCGATGTTCTCGCGGATCGTTGCCCAGCCAGGCTCTACTTAGTATGTTATGCATATGCTACCCCACGTATGGAGACGACAGATTTAGATCAATTCGTACCATGACGCTTGCGCTAGTTCATTGGTGATGAGACTATTTATACTGTATATCATGATTCCATTACCTGATGGACTCTTGCGGGTCACGTCGGACAAGACGAGACAAGACACGAAGTCAGTAACCATTGGCCTACAACCGCGAAGCATGCTGGACATCACCGAGGTCTACTTGTGGATCCAGGTTGAGATGCTTCCTATGCCTAGAGGTCAATTTTAAAACAAGTTCATGAGGCACACAGAGAGCGAAGGGGCTGCTTACAATATACTGCCAACGCGCGGTAGTTCTCATGATTTGGAGTTTACAGACACAGCGAGCTTATTGAGGATAGGAAATCGCTGTTAGAATGACCTTGGAGGAGAATCTGTGTTCCCGACCACCTGTGACGACAAGCTGTCTGTCCGGCGAGAAGGCTACTATTCTTACCCCCGAGGTATGCTGGAGCACACGACCAAAATGTTGCGGGTAGAGATCACGGTGCTCAAGAGCCTCGTGGTATGATTCCTAGATGCACTGGCTATCAATTCACCATCAGGTGGGACAGCCAGCAAGTTAATGACGTCGGAATATACACACAGTGGGGATCCCAGCTAGGCACCAGTCGTTGCACCCCAGAAGTAGATCTCATTACAGGCAGAAATGAGACGACCACCATCCGGAGAGCAGACTATCGAGCGTACTGCTTCGCCATGAGAAAGTGGTTGGATTTGCTGCTTACCGATCGCTGGATTCCAGATGCGAACCGTCTGATTGTCTGACCCACTTGCAATCTTGATTCCACCGGGAGAGGCTACTGTCCGTCCACCACCTTGGTGAGCATCGATGCTGAACATGACAGCCACACATTGTTTCTTGCAGTACAAACGCATCCGTACCTTACAAGCCTCGTGCGTATTTGACGCCAATTTCCTGACACTCGCAACATACCCGCCAACAACACATTAGGCAACGGGTTGGGTTCCTGGCCATATTATCTTCATCATCCTTTGTGTTTCCCAGGCTGGCTGTGATGTCAAGTAAGAGGGATGGGAAAGGCTAACTATGTCGAGCACAAGCGATGAGTTGAGATTCATGCTAACTTCGAGGCTCCAGCTTCGCGATCTGGTTCAGGGCCGGCTTTGTCGCGTTGATGACGTAATCCAAGACCACAACAATATTTATTATTATTGGTCGCGGTCCAACAACTGATCCAAGAGAACTATCCACCGTTCACCTTACCCTTTCCCATATTATTTAGAAGCTGACGATGTCTTCGAGTCCGTCTTCGTCGTCACCCGTACCGTTTGCAATGTCGTCGGCTCCAGCAAGTACAGCTGCCTCATCACCTCCCCCCAGTGAAGAAGGAAAAGCACCAAAGAGCACACGCGAGGTAGGTCAAACTCAGCATCCAGTGTATCGTTCTTTTTCTGTACTAAAAGTTTTGTGCGACAGTCCCCAGAGATATTGGAAACAATAGAAGACGAGGTAGAAGTGCCCTATCACTCATTTGAACGCGTCCTGACACGTCTATTTTAGGAATTTCAAGAACGCTTCTCTCGCCTCGAACGCCTCCTCGAGAAGTCTTTTACATATTCTAAACTTCTAGGAGCGCAGATGGATAAGGAAAAGCGTGCATGTGCACTCCGAGCCGCCATGCAAGCTGCTGCACCCTCGAAACCAGAGTCTTCAAGAAGGCGCCTTCCGAGGCGTGGCAAGAAACGCTCGCGTGTAGAGGAGTCAGATGAAGAGGGGGCGCCTCCCGTCAAACCACAGGTTCAGGAACCTCCTGTAGTTGAGGGGGAGAATGGGCAGCGCCCGAAGTTCCCTCAGCCTGCATTAGTCACGGGGGCAAAGTTGAAGGATTATCAATTAGAAGGAGTGGAGTGGATGGTTAGTTTGGATAAGAACGGCGTTTCTGGTATTCTTGGTAAGCCCTTGAGCTCTAATCGTTGGGTTCCATTTTCTCAAATACAGTGTAGCGGATGAGATGGGTCTAGGCAAGGTAATATAACTAATTTTTCTTTTGAATCATGTTGAACAGATGTCCCCAGACCCTGCAAACCATTGCATTCAATGCACACCTACGTGGTCTCGGTCATTATCAACCTTTCCTTATCGTTTGCCCCTTGAGCGTCCTTCATAATTGGATAGAGGAATTTCAGAAATTTGCGCCTACTGTAAGTCTTCTACCCATCCTTCTCGTCTCTCTAATATCGGACCATCTTTAGATACCCGTTTGCATATACCACGGCACGCCAGCTGAGCGCGCTGATATTCGCCGGACTGTCATGCGAGCACCGGACGCTCAAGAAGCGGCTGATGACGAAGTCATGGTCAAGACGCCACGCAATCGGAAGGGCAAGGGCAAGAAAGTGCCTGCCCGTAAAGCTTCTGCGCCGAAGCGTAAAACAAAAGGCAGACCCACTAAGAGACGCAAGACGGACGCCGATGACGAGGATAGTTTACAGGTAGATGAAGATGATGAAGATACCTCAGATGTTGAAGACAATCGTATACCCACTACTAGCGATACCCTGCCCCCGCAGACCCATGCTTCTTTCCCGGTTGTTGTCACCACCTACGAAATGATTCTTAAAGACCGTATACACCTTGCCACTTATAATTGGGGCTATATCGTTGTAGATGAGGGGCACAGATTGAAAAATCTTGACTGCAAGCTCATGCAGGAGATCAAGAAATACCCGAGCGCAGGTCGGATGATTCTGACTGGAACACCATTACATGTAAGTTCCATTCAGTATGCCGACATTGTTCTCACTCACGCTCTACAGAATAATTTGGCAGAGTTGTGGTCATTGTTGAACTTTATACTACCTGATATTTTTGATGACCTGGATACGTTCCAGGAATGGTTCGTGTCTGTTTTTCTCGCAAAAATGATGCTTAAGCTAATAGCAAATCTAGGTTCAATCTTGGAACCATGCAATCTCGCCTCTCTGAAGACCAGTCATCTCAATTGATTGGCACCCTTCACGGTATCTTGAAGCCTTTCCTCCTTCGACGACTCAAGGCGGATGTCGAAGGCCTCCTCCCACCCAAGAAGGAATATGTTCTGTACGCCCCGCTCAGCGTGGGTCAGCGTGATTTGTACGATAACATCCTGGACGGGTCGTTACGAGACTTCCTTCTTGGCATTTCCAAAAAAGCAGTAGTTGAGAAGGTCGCTGAGATCGACCTGGATGGGCCGATGAAGCTCCGGAAGCAGAAAAAGACACGATACGACCTCGATGGCAACGATGACGAGTACTTTGAGATGCTCGAAGATGGTGGAGGAGCCAAGGTTAAGGAACCAAAGGAAGATGTCTCTGAGCTAGCAAAACAGCATCAGCAACTGGCGACACGTTGGTGTTTTTTTGTGTTTTCGTGGTTTTTATTTGACTGACGGTTGATTGTAGGGAAGCAGATCAACAACATGAGGCTTCAGAACGTCGTCATGCAGCTACGCAAAGTCTGCTCCCATCCGTTTTTGTTCCACTGGCCTGTCGTCCCAGGTACTCAGGAGCTCGTGCTCGACGAACAATTGGTAAATGCGAGCGGAAAGATGATGGTCCTCGATCGCCTACTAGACGAACTGTTCCGCAGGAAACACAAAGTTTTGTTGTTCAGTCAATTTACCACCATGTTAGACGTCCTTGAGGTCCGTCCGTCTTTTTTCATCTGTGTCATTGTGCTCAATCTCTTGTTACAGGACTGGGCTACCGAGCTGAAAGGCTGGCCGATATGTCGTATTGACGGGTCAACAGCACCTATGGACCGCCGCGAGCAGATGAACAAGTTCCAGCAAGGAGGCAACTCTCTCGACGCTCCGAAGTTGTTCCTCCTTAGCACTCGCGCAGGCGGCCTAGGCATCAATTTAACAGCGGCTGATACGGTGATATTCTATGATCAAGACTGGAACCCGCAGATGGATATCCAAGCTCAGGATCGAGCACATCGTATCGGTCAGACGAAACCCGTTTTAGTGTTCCGACTTGTTACGGCGCATACTATTGAGACGAGGATTATGCATCGTGCGACCGAGAAGAGGAAGCTTGAGGCGCTTGTTATAGCTAAGGGTTGGTCTACTTCAACTCCTGTCGTTCTGTCACTCACATATACCATCGCAGGCAAATTCAAGCTACCCGGACAAGGAGCACCTAAATCAAACCCGCAATCCATGACAGAACTCGCAGCTGATCTGTTAAAGCTAGAAGGCGAGCAGATCGACGTGGTGACGAATACGTCTGTGGAGGGTAAGAAACGGGTGTTGTCGGATGAAGACCTCGATATGTTGCTTGATCGGAGTGGGGCTGTGTTCACGGATAGGAAGAAGGGATGGAAGAGCGAGGAGAGTGGGGCTGGGAAGCGTGCGGCTTTTGCTGTGTATGAGGCGCCTGTGCATGAGGGGAATGATTTGGTGGCGAAGATTATGGGGGAGGATGTCACTGAGTGAGTGTTGTGTAGACCTGGGGTTGTAGTTGCAACGTTAAGGTGAGGATGTGAATTGTGCGTTGTGCATATGGATTACTAGAGTTGATAATTGCACTATAATGTTGTACATGGACGCTTAACTCGTCGTAGAATACTAGTACGTTTCGTTTATGATACGATATGGTAGGGATCAAGGGACTTTGAGATTCATGAGTGAAACTGTTTTATCGCGTCGGGGATTCCGTAGCTTTACCAAGCACGTGGAAATGACGTCCGGGGGCGGCTGTTGCACGTATTTTGACATGCAAAAAGAGGCATACGCGTATGTTCGGACAGTGTGAATACCACAATTGAAGAGCTGATGCGTACCTGGTAGCGCTCCTAGTCGGAGTCGGAACTTCGTACCGCTAGGTTGCTTCACCTCCTGGACGTCGGACCCCCGCGCTCCCAGCTTGGAGCCTCCTTCGAGTTGCCTTCGAGTCACGGTGCGTGAGCTGGCACATGCGAATCGTTTGGCTGCGCCCTATCTAAAATTC